GACACCAGAAATGGGCTTCACACATTGTACCCATGTCAGGAATCGAACCCGGGTCTTCGGCGTGACGAGCGAACGCTTTACCACTAGGCTACCCGACCTCCTCCTTTTGGGTAGAGTTTGCTAATTCATACAATCTGAAAGAATTCCACCTTCACTGTTGCTATGCAGCTCAGACATTTCTTTCATACACAGCAAACTACGGTCATAACGAGCTGAAAGGGACCACTTATTTTAGTTCATTTTATCCGTCGTTCGTTATACGCATTTCGACCGTCAGACATCTTTTATCAAGCCATGTGACATATAGAATACTAAACTCGCTCCCGTGTAATACCAATTTTATGAAACGAGTGAATAGTTGTGGTATCTGACTCGCTTTCGCTCGTCAGATACCACAACTATTCACGAGTTTCATAAAATTGGTTTTACACGGGAGCGAGTTTAGTATTTTATTTATTACTTGCCATTGATAACGTTTTTAGAATTATACTGTTGAGTATGAATAGGCTGACACCTACACGATCCACGGCATAGTCCAATTGAGTTTAACAGAATAATACTTCAAACACGTCAAACGTTGAAACGTATGAATTTAATACCATACAACGGTCCACCTTTAGAATTCAGGCGTCCGTTCCACAAAATTATCGTAGGGCTAATCGCAACTCACATACTTTAACTTAGACTAACGACTGTCGTTGCGCTACAATACGATCGCCTTGTGGAACGGGCCTTGCACCTCAAAGTTTACAATCACGTCACAATACCCGATGACGTAAATTGTGGAATTTTGTTGCAAGGTCCATCGGCGAAACAATGCCATGTGACGTCAGCCTAGCAACAAGGTTGCTGGGGTCATCGAGTGTGCATAAGCTCCTCTCAGTGATCTATCAACTCCATACGCAATGTCGTTGAATAAGCCAAGGGATGTTGAGAGCTTTCAATATTTGTTCGTGAAACGTGTTCCGAGAGTACATAAGCATGCGTTTTGGTATTACACAATGTGTAATACAGCTGTATGTTTATTAAACGGGTGATCTCTTCACGGGCAAGTAATATATCATTTTACTCTATAAATGACAAAAGTGTGCACTGTACATGTACAGAATATGTCCACTTCAATCACTGTGTTACTATTGTTAATTAAGGGTGTAATTTGAAGACATGGTGTCAGTACTTAAGAGTAAATCAATTGCCTTCAGGTGTTCAGATAGGCAGATTGGTGACACGTGAGGAGCTCAGCTCAGGGATTAACAGTTCGTTATACACTTACACATTATTGTTGACGGAGTACACACGGGACCACAAGGTCAGTTCGCTTTATCATTGTTTATCATGTTTATCCGTTATTTCGTCATGAGCATGTTGGTTATATGCATCAACTTTATGTGATAAACTATATGGAAAATGGCCTGGATCAAAAGAACAGTGCGTTATATCCGTCAGTTTGTTATAAATGTGTCCGTTATAAATATAGTTTACTGTAGCTTTATTGAGTGAAAGGGACCCGTGAAGATACGGGGTAGAATTGGTCTTTAGCAACCCATGCTTGTCGTAAGAGGCGACTAACGGGATCGGGTGGTCAGGCTTGCTGACTTGTTTGATGCATTTCATCGTATTCCAATTTGTGTGGATCGATGCTCATGATGTCAATCACTGGATTGTCTGGTCCAGCCTCGATTATTTACAGACCACCGTCAAATAGCTGGAATATTGCTGAGCGCGGCGTGAAACAACAAACAAACAAACAAACAACAAACTAAGTGAAAGGGCTCTTCAAACACATAGGCAGATCCATGCTTTGCGAAACAGAAATAATTATACTCTACAAGAGCAAAAACACAGCAGTAAAATACTTGTAGACAAGTCAGAGATTGAAAGAATCATCCTCACTCACAACACACAGAGTGTCAATGTGGAAGTGGAAATGAAGAGGCATATCAAGTTTTCACAAGATATCAAAGCAAGATTTGGCAAAACATTTCTAGAGAATGCAAAAAGGCATATGGATTACATGTATGAACTTTTCTAACAGCCACATGTGCATCAACATTTAAAAAAACCTCTGACAATCATATATAAATCCAAATTGCAAACCTAGTAAATTGATCCAGTGGCTGCTAACAGGGCACAGGGCATAACTATAGGCCCACCTATCCCCAGTTTAATCATTGCCAGTAATAGATGACAGTTGGGTGAGTGAGTGAGTGAGTGGGGTTTTACGCCGCTTTTAGCAATATTCCAGCAATATCTGGCGGGGGACACCAGAAATGGGCTTCACACAATGTACCCATGTCGGGAAACGAACCTGGGTCTTTGGCGTGACAAGCAAACGCTTTAACCACTAGGCTACCCGACCGCCCCTATGACAGATGGGACTTACTCTGTCCAGGTTTCCAATAGTGCGACTCACTACACCTGGAACAACCCAATCCCATTTACACCTCAATGTTACAAGAAGCATGGGGTGGTATGTTTTACAAAGACGCATATTGACATCATGCTCAACAATATTCCAGCAATATGACAGTGGCCTGCATACAATCCATTCTGGACCAGACAATCCAGTGATTGATATTATGAGCATGAGTCAAGCTGTCAGGCTACCATGAAACCAAGTCCTACACTCTGATCAGCTGAACCAGCATGTTGACTCATCTGACAAGCATAGGTTGCTGGGGACCTATTCTAACAGGAATCCCCACAGGGAGACCAGCATACGTTCCTGGAGACCTATTCTAACCCGGAATCCCCACAGGGAGACAAGCATAGGTTGCTGGAGACCTATTCTAACCCAGAATCCCCACAGGGAAACCAGCATACGTTGCTGGAGACCTATTCTAACCCAGAATCCCCACAGGGAGACAAGTACAGGTTAATGGGGACCTATTCTAACCTTGAATCCCCACAGGGAGACAAGCATAGGTTGCTGGGGACCTATTCCAACCTTGAATCCCCACAGGGAGACAAGCATACTTTGCTGGAGACCTATTCTAACCCGGAATCCCCGTAGGGAGACTAGCACAGGTTGCTGGGGACCTATTCTAACCCAGAATCCCCACAGGGAGACAAGCATACGTTGCTGGGGACCTATTCTAACAGGAATCCCCACAGGGACACAAGCACAGGGTGCTGAGGACCTATTCTAACACAGAATCCCCACAGGGAGACAAGCATACGTTGCTGGGGACCTATTCTAACAGGAATCCCCACAGGGACACAAGCACAGGGTGCTGAGGACCTATTCTAACCCAGAATCCCCACAGGGAGACAAGCATATGTTGCTGGAGACCTATTCTAACCCAGAATCCCCACAGGGAGACCAGCATAGGTTGCTGGGGACCTATTCTAACCCAGAATCCCCACAGGGAGACCAGCATACGTTGCTGGAGACCTATTCTAACCCGGAATCCCCACAGGGAGACCAGCATACGATGCTGGGGACCTATTCTAGCAAGGAATCCCCTCAGGGAGACAAGCAAAGGTTGCTGGGGACCTATTCTAACCCGGAATCCCCACAGGGAGACAAGCATACGTTGCTGGGGACCTATTCTAACCCTGAATCCCCACAGGGAGACAAGCATACGTTGCTGGAGACCTATTCTAACCCGGAATCCCCACAGGGAGACCAGCATACGTTGCTGGGGACCTATTCTAACCCGGAATCCCCACAGGGAGACCAGCATACGTTGCTGGAGACCTATTCTAACCCGGAATCCCCACAGGGAGACCAGCGTACGTTGCTGGAGACCTATTCTAACCCGGAATCCCCACAGGGAGACCAGCATACGTTGCTGGGGACCTATTCTAACCCGGAATCCCCACAGGGAGACAAGCATACGTTGCTGGAGACCTATTCTAACCCGGAATCCCCACAGGGAGACCAGCATACGTTGCTGGGGACCTATTCTAACCCGGAATCCCCACAGGGAGACCAGCATACGTTGCTGGGGACCTATTCTAACCCGGAACATGCACAGGGAGACAAGCATACGTTGCTGGGGACCTATTCTAACACGGAAGACCCCCAGGGAGACAAGCATACATTGCTGGAGACCTATTCTAACCCGGAATCCCCACAGGGAGCTAAGCATAGGTTGCAATGAACCTATTCTAACCCGTTCTCCCTACGGGGAGCCAAGCACAGGTTGTGAGGTACCTATTCTAACCCAGAATCCCACGGAGAGACAAGCACAGGTTGCTGGGGACCTATTCTAACCCAGAACCCCATGGGGGGAGCATTGGGGACCACTGTTACCAAACATGAAATCTGGAATCGATAACAGACCATTAATTCATCCAGGGAGACATTAAAAAACCCAAATGCACTAAAGCAACCAATTCATAGCTTAGATTGTCACTGGTCGTTCTTCCACAACCACTGATCCCTATCTGCACCACTAACATGGCAAGTATCAACGCAGTGCATAAAAATCATACAAAACAAAACAATTAACAGCGGATGCTAGGATGCCTTTACGACAAGTTGCGGAGCTAAAGAAAATCAAGTGCTGCTGATGAAGAAGGGATAAAGGCTCCAGTACACAGGATGAAGTTACATGTATGCTTCACAGCAAATGAAGGTAAACTTTAATGTGTTGATACATCTGCAAACTGTGCAATACGTGACAAGATGATGAAAATAAGCAAGAAGAGGTTACAAGGAGGACCCTTAAAGAGCTTACCAGGAAATGACCATCACTCTTACAAGTCTCTGGCTTAAAATATCAATCAAAAGTTATTAATTATTTTCTTTCCTTAAAATTGTTGTAAGTTACTTATTTAAAGTATATAATTACACATAATCATAATTCGAAAATATTCCAGTATAATGAGTGGACAAAGCATTTAAATATCTTTTTTTTCTTGAATATAATGCAAACAAATACTGAATATTTAACCCATTCTTGTAGTGGTCATTCCTGAACTCCAAACTCTGTAAGAACCTTCCTGTTTTCAGCTATGATAGGACAAAGCTTGAGTGTTAATCCCTTACATACCATCCTTTCAATGTCATGTTTAGTTATTTTCGACATCTGGAAACAAGGGAGAGAAATATATGCTTCATGACAACAGTTACTTCCCTTTGACCAGTGAGCCTGCCTCAATCACAGTACACATGTGTAAAAAGGCTACTTCCCATGATCACTGATGATCCTAAGGCAATATTCTAAGGAAATGCTTGATAATGAATTTATTAGTTATAAACATGTGTAATTAATTCTCTTGAAATTAGTTGCAACATTTATCTAGCATTAAGAGATATAAGCATATACATTTGGGGCAGAGCTCTACGCTCACTTTCTTCTTTTATAACACATAAACATCATCTTTTATATAAAATATATCATTTTCAAAACAATAGGGGCTTCAGATGTACCAAAACATATTGGACACCAAAACGGTGAGAGTAAGTTCTGCAACTATTGACATCCAAATACAAAACTTTTGGCCCTAAACTTGATCAAAACTAAAACAAATTTCCTTATCAAATTCAATTTTGAAAAGGAACAGAGGACAATCAGTAAACAGTTATAAGATCCAAAAGGTTAGGTAGTGCTTGCTAACTACGCTCCAAACACTACCAACAAAACATATTCCAGTACACATGCACTAGGCTACTTGCAGAGCAAGTTGTTAGAGCTTCTCCAATGCAAACTATGCAAATAACTGATACATATATTATTCATACAAGTCTAAACAAACTAATAAATAAATAAGGAAAAAAATGAAAGAATGAACAAATTGTGGAATGAATGAATGAAATGATGAATTAATGGATTAATGAATTAATAAAAGCAATAATCAATTAAATACTAGAATGATTGATTAATGAACTGTTGAATTAATAAAATATGAATGAATGAATGAATGAATGAATGAATGAATGAATGAATGAATGAATGAATGAATGAATGAATGAATGAATGAATGAATGAATGAATGAATGAATATAATACTATTGATAACTGAAAAAAATATCTCTAAATTACTTCAGCCTCCAAAACCGGACTAGGCATTAAGTTCAGACCCTACTGCTCTGTCGAGGAGTTTTAGAGATCCGGGTAACTCACGGCAGTGGGAGAAACACTACTGAACTTACCCTCTGCACGGCACTGGAGGAACAATGGGCTATCTTCTCCATCCAGTCCTTCATGTCAGCGTCCGTCTCACAAGCCACTTCCAGGGGGTGGGCCTGGTACCGGCTGAAGATCTTGAAGGCAAAGCTCCGGCCTCTTCCCACAGACACCTCTGAAATACACAGTGAGTGAGTTGGATTTAACACTGCTTTGACAATTAAGTCATATCATGGCGAGTCAGCTTGATGTGGGAGGCAAGCCTGAAGCGAGTGAGTGACTGAGTGAGTTGGATTTAACACTGCTTTGTACAATACTTAAGTCATATCATGGCGAGTCAGCTTGATGTGGGAGGCAAACCTGAAGCGAGAGTGACTGAGTGAGTTGGATTTTACACTGCTTTTTGTACAATACTTAAGTCATATCATGGCGATTCAGCTTGATGTGGGAGGCAAGCCTGAAGCGAGTGAGTGACTGAGTGAGTTGGATTTAACACTGCTTTTTGTACAATACTTAAGTCATATCATGGCGAGTCAGCTTGATGTGGGAGGCAAGCCTGAAGCGAGTGAGTGACTGAGTGAGTTGGATTTAACACTGCTTTTTGTACAACACTTAAGTCATATCATGGCGATTCAGCTTGATGTGGGAGGCAAGCCTGAAGCGAGTGAGTGACTGAGTGAGTTGGATTTAACACTGCTTTTTGTACAATACTTAAGTCATATCATGGCGAGTCAGCTTGATGTGGGAGGAAAGTCTGAAGCGAGTGAGTGACTGAGTGAGTTGGATTTTACACTGCTTTTTGTACAATACTTAAGTCATATCATGGCGAATCAGCTTGATGTGGGAGGAAAGTCTGAAGCGAGTGAGTGACTGAGTGAGTTGGATTTTACACTGCTTTTTGTACAATACTTAAGTCATATCATGGCGAGTCAGCTTGATGTGGGAGGAAAGTCTGAAGCGAGTGAGTGACTGAGTGAGTTGGATTTAACACTGCTTTTGTACAATACTTAAGTCATATCATGGCGATTCAGCTTGATGTGGGAGGAAAGTCTGAAGCGAGTGGGTGACTGAGTGAGTTGGGTTTAACACTGCTTTGTACAATACTTAAGTCATATCATGGCGAGTCAGCTTGATGTGGGAGGAAAGTCTGAAGCGAGTGGGTGACTGAGTGAGTTGGGTTTAACACTGCTTTGTACAATACTTAAGTCATATCATGGCGAATCAGCTTGATGTGGGAGGCAAGCCTGAAGCGAGTGAGTGACTGAGTGAGTTGGGTTTAACACTGCTTTGTACAATACTTAAGTCAAATGATGGCGAGTCAGCTTGATGTGGGAGGCAAGCCTGAAGCGAGTGAGTGACTGAGTGAGTTGGGTTTAACACTGCTTTGTACAATACTTAAAGGGGCACTGATCTAACGCAATTCCCCGGGACTGGTTGTTGCCTTTGTTATTGTTTTTTCCCAGTGAGTACCCGGATGTATAGCAGAAATCTAGACTAGTTCGCGACCTCTGCTGCACCATTCGTTAGCGCATTAGTCACTTTTATGGGTAGTAGTAATAAGGGCGTATGGTCACATTGATCAACAAAATGAAATACAGTTTTCGAGATAATAAGGAAATGTAGGTATCTTTGTGAGTAGCATCGGTAATGGTGACGAAGTTTTGATAAGTCACTTGCTTGGTAATTTTGCGATTTTCGTTTACACTATTTTGACTTGCAACACAAAGTATATATTTCACCTGAGCATATGCTTTTTTTATAGTGTGTATATTTTTGTACTGTCAAATGTGTAACAAACTTATTAAACGTCTAAATATTGAGTTATTTTACAAAGTGACTGAAAAACATTTCCATCTGTATTATTATGACAACGAATTCCAAACATTTTGATGTTTAATGTCATCACCAAGAGACTGAAAATGTAACGTTGAAAAGTACATTTCTAAGTTGTTTGGCTTTTAATCATACATAATAATCTGTTGTGATGTTTGTAGGCCCTTTTGATCGTCTTGATCAATCTGGACAGATTTTTTAGTCAAAATGACTGAAATATTTACACATTTTATAAATTGCCTGAGAGAATCACATTTTACAAATTGACGGTAATATATACACGCTTACAAAGGAAAAGACCTGTGACAACAACGACTATCGCGCATTGAAGAATTTCCCAACCAAGACGTAGAGAAACAAGAACGAATCGGTTCAAATGAAGGAAAACAAAATGCAGATATCATAATTAGAACCTACCAAATTTATGTGTATAAGTTTTAGGCAGCTTCCTTGTTCGAGGAATGTATCCGTGAATATCCACACAAAGGAACAATATCCCACTCGTCTGCAGCTGTACAAAGAAACTTATTCGATGTCACGTGTCTCAGTAACAATCAAATATATCGTTTCGGGATATTATACCCGTGTTCGTTTCTCAACTGATCGCTTGGATTGTTTCAGGTGTTTTACATAGGTGTCAAGTCTCAATGGTCGGCTGAGAAAGCCCACGTGACAACTATTTTCATAGCGTCCACGGTTCCTAAAAATGCCATTGAGTGATAGATAACAATGATCAATCAATCAACGTATTATCAGTTAACCCTTTGAACAAAGTATGTTGTTTTTACTTCGGCACTTCGCGCCATGATTGGGTATTCCCTTTGTTTTAGTAAACCTTGACATGTAAACACTCACTCTTGACATATCCACTGTGCAAGATAACAGTGATTAATCAATCAACGTATTTTCTGTTAATCCTTTGATGACTAGGAACGATCCGTTGATTTACAAAAAAAAGTAAATCAACTGATCATTCATCTCTTGCTGGGCTGCCACGTGCATATTACATAACACACATTTCACCTCACTTCAAACCTGGATTTAGATTGAATAATTACCCCAGACACAATAAATGCCAAATGGGAACCTTTGTCAGGTAATATAAGTGGTGCTACCACTAATTGTACCTGTAATAAATTCATTAACTGAGCATCAAGTGAATGACGACAAATACACAAGTGTAGGGTTATACGAGAAAACGTGGATGACAACAAAGGGGGAATCGTATTATCGACGCAAGCCGAAATCCGAAAATGTTTTCACTGCATTGATACTGTTTTTAGTATTAAACTATAACCATCTGGGGTATTTCCAAATGACGACATCCGATGAGCTCCCTTGTTCTTTTTGTCTGTTTGTTTAGGCTGAAGAAATGAATTAACATGCGCCCTTTGTCGAAATCTTTATAGATCACAGTTAACCAATCAGTGTTCAAAAATGCGTAAAACAAATATTGCCTCCAGCCTCCAAGTTTATTTAGCTGTCCTTGCAGACGGTACCCCAGTCTCTGGTCACGCTCAGTTGCGTTGCGTATCATCCGGGTACTCACGGGGGAAAAAACAATAACAAAGGCAACAACCAGTCCGTTAGATCAGTGCCCCTTTAAGTCATATCATGGCGAATCAGCTTGATGTTGGAGGCAAGCCTGAAGCGAGTGTGATTGAGTGAGTTGGATTTAACACTGCTTTTCGTACAATACTTAAGTCATATCATGGCGAGTCAGCTTGATGTGGGAGGAAAGTCTGATGTAATGCAGGTCTTAGAAATTTACAAACTTGGTGAAACCCACAAGCATGGGAATGGTGCTAACAAGCCCGATACATAATCATGTCAAATCCACCATCACAGGTTGCTGGTATGCCTTAGGGACGGAACTCTGCACAGCTAACTGCAGCATCTTAGACTTCAATCTTCATGGAATCAGTACAGTCTATCTCACCTGTCATACATCCCTGGACATCTACAGAGCCCTGCTGTAAAGATCCAAGAGGTGCCGACTCGGCAGAATCATTCTCGGAGTCCAGCTCCTCAACATAGTTGGAGGGAAACCAGTGTTGCTTCTTCGTCCCATAATCCCCCCTCCACCTGTGCAGACAAACACAGACACAACTTGCAATCCAAACACAACTGCACACATTAAATATCATTAGGATTTTCTGTCTCAAAACAACATTGTTACCAACTTCCTAAACCATTTACTTGGTTCTCAAATTAAGAAAGGATAAGATATATGGATGAACACCTTCTTTATTAGGAGCGACGTTTCGGTGTAGGTTCTAACACTCTTATCAAGCAAGTGATGTACAGAGTACAATTAGGAGCTATGTTTTGTTGTAGGTTCTAACACTGTTATCAAGCAAGTGATGTACTCATTACGAAAATATTCGCGATTTCATCCCTGTCACAAAAACACAGGCAATTGTTGGGGGGTTTAAAAGATGAATAAGACATATTCATGTCAACAAAGACAGGCAGCGGTAAATCACTTTCATACGAAGGTGTTCCAGCCGGGGATGTTGATTTTGTGAAACGTTCTCTGATTGAACTATCGATATGCGCGAAGGTCCAATTATATTTAGCACAGGGAAGTGGGCTTGATGTGACAAGGGTAGAAACAAGACTTTGATAAAAAGGCTAGTGGACGCTCTTGCCTCAGGAAGATGGACATTGATTAAGCGAATACTGTTTGGCGCCACAACAGCAATTTTGCAGATTTTCACAACAAACATGACAGAACATAATCAGCGAAGTGACTGTACCATCCTCCATCTTGTTTGGTGACATTAGTGATGATGGCCTCCTTGAGGAAGGATAACTCGTCCGCTCGGTTGGCCTGGTAGTCATGGAGGGCCTTCACTCGCAGCTGCACCAGACAGAAACACAACACAAACTTACTACAGTTTCTCGTCCTCTATACACATGATGTGAAGACTTGAGACAAACATTTGAAAGCCTGTATATGTATTACAAGTAAAGTTTCCTAACACCACTGTTCTCAATCTGGTTCCTCCCATTAGCCACAAAACGCAATATCCATTCTCTACCAGAAACAAGGGCTGCTATTATTCTCGTATCAATTACCCACTGTAAATGAGAATTCATCTTTTCAATACATTTCGATATGATTTATTATAAAGACCTTAATAGAAACACGATTCAAGCAATTATCAACAGCATTGCAGAAAATCTATCATTTTCAGAATTCACAAACTGTCATTTCACTTAAGTGATAACATTAGTACAAGAAACATTTTGACTCAAAACTATAGGAAAACAATAAAAACATAATTCTACAAAATGAACAAAAGGACACCCATGCAACAACTTGACATTGCCATGACAACATATAGTGCTTGTCAACATACACTTGCTCTCCGGCTAACTAGTGTAAGTAGAACTACATCCATTACGAGCAGAGCCAGGTATTACAAAGCCTGTGTCAAGTATCTCATGCAACAGAAACAACATACTATTGGATGTCATGCAACTATTAAAATGTGCATATGATAATCCTACAATTGAACAAACACACAAATACTTCAAACTAATTAGAGCTAGTTACAGAATAGTCTGATACACTATGGCTGAAGGGGTCGTCGGCACAGGTACTACAGGTATGTTCCCAGGTACGCTTCTTTAAACAGAAATGTACAGAAAATCAGAATACAGAAAGGTATCCTAGGATGAGTCCATTACACTGCAGGCCATATTCCCCAATGCACTGAACCGGTTCCTTGAACGCTAATGTATACGACACATCCTGGATGCCAACCTCGGTAAAATTTAACATGGCAGTAAATGTTGTTTGGTTTTTTCTTGTTATTTCCTTACTTTAAATGGATCAGAGCTGTAATACTATTGTAGACATGCATTCCAGTCTGCTATATGAAAAATTAGCAAAAACAGAGACGTGCGTGCAATACTCTGCAATGCACAGCTTTCTCCAGCATGCACTGAACCAGAACTACAATATGAACCGGTTTCGGGTTGGGGGAATATGGACTTGTCCGTCACTTAGGGTACTGGGTACCTTTCTGTATTCTGATTTTGGCTAGGGTACATTTCTGCATACAGAAACATACCTGGGGTACATATCTCCATTACCCATGCCGACAACGACCCCTTCAGCTTCACTATCCCCATTCTTAAATGCTGAAGTGGAAATACAATTACAGGAATTTGGAAAATCCTTTTCACTCAGAATAGAACTCGGCAAAGTATAGTCCCAGGTTGAAGACAATGAGAAATAGAACTCGGATAGGTATAGTCCCAGGTTTAAGACAATGAGAAATACAACAAAACCTGTTACCCCAAATCGAGCTTGCAGCCTAAAAATGATAAATCAAGCAAAATGAGTCGAAAACTCATTCAATAGCCTCCTAACATTGTACCATGCCAAATTTGAAAACAATCCCCTGAAAAATGCAAAAACTCCGACAAGACAGCATAGTATTGGATATTTCAAACTTCTTTTTTGTTTTAACTTCTTGATGCTCTTCATGTTACGTTTTGAGGAAGTATCATAATCAAAAGATATTTAAAGAAATGATATCCAGAAGTCTGAAACAAATTTAAAGCTGTTGTTCTTGTCTCAATCAATAAATTTTCTTGGCATATTGGCCTGGAAATCAATTATGCTGTCTCTCAAGAAAGGTCTAACTGTATTATATGATTAAAACTTTCAAACCATTCCAAACTTGCCCCAGTAGTTGAATAGTTGACATAATGCAGTTTCCTATTGAGTATGGACTTTCTTCCTTATTTCTGGTTTGTGACAGGATTCCTATCTGAACACTTCCTCACGAATCTGAAGTCAGCCCTACATACATTGTATTAGCATTCATCCTGTTCATACTGCAAGTACTTCCTTCTTTAGCAGATTTGCTTTCAATACAAAAGTAAGTACAGTAAATGTTCATTAGATATACCATGGGCCCTAAAAATCGTATTAAGTGTCCATGGATGTATCAGTTCTACAAATGCCTCACATGCCCTTGAATACCTGTTGATTTGCTACGTCCCACTCCTAGCCATAGGAAATCACAACTTAGATATTACCACAGTCCAAAAACACTATAATAGAATAACAAGGTATGTAACAGATTGCTGTCAATCAATATGTTACCACATAATTTGATTGTCACTATTTACATTTGTTCAACGTCATTTAACTTTCAAAGTCTGCTTTTAAATAATCGCTGTCTTGTATATCAGAGTTAATGATTTAATTTTTACATTTAAACCACACATTTCATACACTTCTGACACCTGGTAAGGTCTGTCTATTTGCAAAATTCTTTTGGGAACATTGATTTTCCTTTTATCTGGCCCCCAGTATCCTTGATATCATAACCCTTCTGTGTTGATGGGGTGCACTTCGGCAGACATTTGTTCAAAATTGGTAATTTAAAGTTCTTATTGTCCATTAAATTTGGATGGTTTCTAAAATTATATCTGAACATTTTAATCACCACTACAAAACCATAACATTACAAAAATCATTTGGAAGACTGTTAATTCAAATTTGGGAGGGGCGTCGGGTAGCCTAGTGGTTACAGCGTTCGCTCGTCATGATGAAGACCTTGGTTCGATTCCCCACATGGGTACAATGTGTGAAGACCATTTCTGGTCCCCTGCCATGATATTGCTGGAATATTGCTAAAAGCGGTGCAAAACCATACTAACTCACTCAAATTTGGGAAATTGTATTGAACATTTGTTGTAGATATCAGTCTAAAGTTGCCCTTGCTTTCAACATAACTTATAACAAACACATATCCACTTCACGTTATAATCGGCCTATGAGTGGCACTGACTGTTGCCGATTGTCCCTTCATCCTTACCTTGGACCTATAACGATTGGGAAGATGGTATACCCATGACTCATACACTGTCGCGTCGCTGTCGTCGTCAGCCTAGAAAAGCCGTCAGGGGTGAGAGCAGCTGATGGTTAGTACAGGTTAGTCTACATCACAGGGGGCACGGGTGGCCCAGTCGTCTAAGGCGCCGCGATTCGCTGTGCAGAGTTGCGTCCCTTGGGCACGCCAGAAACCTATGATTGTGGGTTCGAATCACGGTTCGCCCCGATTATGTTTCTAGGTTTGTCAGCACCATACCCGTGCTCGTGGGTTTCACCGAAGTGGTAAACGTCTAAGACCTGCATCACTTCGGGCTTTCCTCCCACATTAAGCTGACACGCCGCGATATAACTGGAATACTGTTAAAAGCGGCGTTAAACCCAACTCACTCACTCACTACATCACAACCACTAGCTGGTATACCTGTCGGGAGTCCACTCTACACAGGCCAACACAGAAATATGCAGTTCCAATTCACTGACTGACTAGTTTGGGGGCATTCCGTCACAGGAAAAAGAGCTGAACAGGAAAAAAGTAACGCCATACCGATTTCTTTCGTTGTTTTATGTAAGGTCAATATGCCAAGATAAATATGAAATTAAGAAACATATGTTGTTATGGTTATTTGATGTTAATAACTTTCAAAAGTTCCTTATAATCATGCCAAATAAAACGATGTTCAAACTAACCATATACTACTCAAAGAGTGAGTGAGTGAGTATAGTTTTACGCCGCTTTTAGCAATTATACTACTCAACATTTGCTAAGGACCAAACCTTTGACTAAAGACTAGTTTACTCCTTAGCAAATGTTGACTAGTATATTTTCAACTGTAAAACAAGATTCAAAACTGTTTTGGTCTTTCTAAATTACTTTAATTTTTCATCAGTCTGATAAAATTACTAAACTCGATTTAATTTCTGCTCATTCAAAAAAATAAATCTAAATCTAACAGCATACTTTATTAAAGAAACTCAAAATGAAACTGTTTTGTTTTTTATTTCATGCTAATGGCAATGGTCTTCCTTCGAAAGGACTCTTAACAGTAAACGTGGAATTGGAACTGCATGTTTAGCTGATGTAGAGACTCTCCATGTGACAACATGCTGTCTTGGCTCCTCTAGAAAACATTGCAAGAGGAAACATGTCATGCATCTCCTGTGTATGAGGCAGGGCTTTATGTAGGTCTGCTCACAGGCCGATATTCAGCCCCTAATCTGCAGCAAATTGCAGTACGAATTCCTAAAGTGGAACTAAACGGTTCCCAATTCATATTGTAATAGTTAAGACTGCTTCACCAGGTAATGGCCCTGTCGAGGTGACTCCTATTTCACTGATATAAGGCTAAAAAAATAACAGTCTTGGTTCTCAAGCACAGCTCGCATCATTGTTAAGACTGCATGTTTTGATTTTATTTCCGTTTTTAATAAAATCTAAAAATCCTAATACTTAAAAACAATGCGATACAATATAGCATGCAGTTACTTCCCTTTACATGTGCCCTGCTTTACTGCACATCTCGTGTTATGGTCATGGTGGCAATAGGAGTTTGTATGCTTGTTTATGTAGGGAGGCCCTTTCCCAGGTTAATGGTACACAACTGTTTATTTGGTTACAAGCCACATAAACAACAACAAAACACACCACCCGCCCACACTATATTTTCAAAAGTCATTGCCTGAGAACCAATTCTTTTATTTTTTTAAGCCTAACAGGACACAATAGATATATTTAAACAATGTTAAAATATCTCCAAACTTTAGAAAATAAAAACTTAAAAACAAATTTCACAAGTTTGAATAAAGTAATAAATAATTTGTTCCCATTTCGCCAGCCAAGGGAACTTACTCTGGATCCCTACATAAAACCCTGTTAGCAAGATACAAGCATGTTAGCCTCACCATTAGGAAACTGATCAACTATTGTGCAAAATCTGTTCTTGAAATCCATCATTTGCTGAAGAACTGACCAGCGCCATACACAGTGTGACACTGAGAACTATTCTCACTTGAAAAGTATACACTGTTATACATTATTCCTTACATACCAGTCATCTAAGGTGCCGCGATTCGCTGTGCAGAGTTGCGTCCCTTGGGTACACCAGAAACCTATGATTGTGGGTTCGAATCCCGGTTCGCCCTGATTATGTTTCTAGGTTTGTCAACACCATACTCGTGCTCGTGGGTTTCACGGAAGTGGTAAACGTCCGAGACCTGCGTCACTTCGGACATTCCTTCCACATTAAGCTGACACGCTGTGATATAACTGGAATACTGTTAAAAGCGGCGTTAAACCCAACTCACTCACTCACTCCTTACATACTATGGATGAGGTGTGATCAGGGACCTTTCTAGCAAGACAAAATTGCCAAATTCTAAATCTTGTGAAGGCATTTCGCGAACTGTTCTTAAAAGGTGGGAGAAAAACCAGTTTTCAGTGAGCAATTTGATATGTGATTTTAACATGGACAAGGCATTGTCCCAAGCTGAATTTCTTACAAGATTAGGTAAACATAGTTCATTATTACTGTAAAATGTGCAAAATTGATCACAGACTTGCTTGTAGTTAATTTCCTAAAAGAATAGGCTACTGGTAGTTGTCATTTGTCAATACTATTGTTTCACCTACCCAATATTCAGATTTTTATTTGGACAGTTCATGAAGAAACACTTCTCATAATCCTTTGTCCATAGTTATGCATTTTACACCTTATAATCAAAAATATGTAAACTTAAAATAAAAATTAACAGTAATATTTCAATTTTACACCTTCTCACCAAAACTAGAAAATACCCTTACAACACTCAGTCCCTTATGCATTTCACACTATGAGCTGAGTAAGAAATTAATTTTATTTTCATCTGTCATTTTCAAAAAGTTGCCATCAACCAAAGAGTTTAGGGGGTATTCCACATGGAAATTTGATGCCACAATTCTAAAGTCTCAGACAAGCAGACTTTATGATGGTAATTTCGAGTGAGTGAGTGAGTAGGGTTTAACGCCGCTTTTAACAGTACTCCAGTTATATCACAGTGTGTCAGCTTTATGTGGGAGGAAAGTCCGAAGTGATGCAGGTCTCGGACGTTTACCACTTCGGTGAAACCCACGAGCACGGGTATGGTGCTGACAAACGTAGTAACATAATCAGGGCGAACCGGGATTCGAACCCAAAATCATAGGTTTCTGGCGTGCCCAAGGGACGCAATTCTGCACAGTGAATCGCGGCGCCTTAAGACGACTGGGCCACCCGTGCTCCCTTGATAATTTCGAACATTCATCATGACCTGATGCGGCTTTCTTCAGAGAACAATTGCAAATTCAAAGACCAGATTGTGTAAACTAGAAATGAGTGAAGCAAGTGACTGGAAGAAAACAAGGTATTAGTGAAGCGGTGAACCAGCCCGACAGAACACAGACGACATGCACACTACCACCACAAGCTGTGCCGCCCCACCAGCTTGGTTACCTTTGTTGTGAAATCATTAGGATTGATATATAAATCTGGTGTGCCATAGATCCCTGTCTCATCGGGGGCCTGAAAGGGGAAGAACTCATAATGAAAGGGGAATAACTCATACTGAAAGGGCTATCACTCATACTGAAAGGGAAATAATTGATAAAGAAAGGGAAATAACTCATATTAAAAGAGAGGAAAAGTCATACTCAAAGGGGAAGAACTGATACCGACAGGAAATCAACTCATACCAAAAGTTTGTTTTGTTTGTTTGTTGTCCAATGCCACACTCAGCAATATTCCAGCTATATGAAGGCGGTCTGTAAATAATCGAGTCTGGACTAGACAATCCAGTGATTGACATCATAAGCATGGATCCACGCAATTGGGATATGATGACGTGCATCAACCAAGTCAGCGAGCCTTACTACCCGATCCCGTTAGTCGCCTCTTATGACAAACAAAGTCGCCTTTTACAGCAAGCATGGGTAACTGAAGACCTATCGTACCCAAAGGAGAATAAATCATACTAAAAGGGAAATAACTCATAATGAAAGGGGAATAACTCACATTGGCATCTGAATGCTTGCACATCAACCTCTGACGATTTACCATTAAACATATAGATATGTCCTTTAATACCAGTGCTTCATATTCCTATCACAACCATTACATTTGAAAATCCATTGAAAATCAGACAATGTGAATACAACTTGAAAAGATTAATTTCTTTCATTAACTTATATTCCAATTAATTTTATAAAAATGTTGCCCTTTATCTTGAGTTTATTTGATGGTGGACGTTTTTATGTATCATCCCAATCATATTACCTGAATACCATGGAGACATGTATGTATACTACTCAAAAGAAGTTCAAGAACACCCTCTTTTTAGGACTGAAGTTAATCTGTCATGGCAAGACATTACCCATAGCCATATGAACAAATTGGGTGTTCTTTAACTTCTTTTGAGTAGTATATTATCACAGACATATTCACGCTATAATTAAGTTGATGTCAACAATTCATCGTAAATCTGACTGTCGTAATTTTTTTAGCAGTCAGCAAGTCTATGTGCAAGTCCTCACCATGTCCAGCCTGTTGACGACCTCATGATTGACGGCATGTTTTAACTTCATCTTCTTGTACAGTGCATTCTTCTCATAGTACGTGACCAGCTCCACCAGACTCTCAAACTGAGCGTTGCCGATGAGGAACAGTCGTCCCTCCTGCTTGATACGGCAGTGTTTGATCTTGCCCTCAGCTCTGAAACAACGGCAATCTGTTCTGAAGCTGTCATCTTTCAAGCAGGGCCGTGTTCCACAATAGATCAAAGTGCTTTTGTCTCTCAAAAGCAGAGATGGAAATTAGCACCAGCCTGCTTGCCTGGATCAGTTTTGTTAATGTTAAAGGTATCCTACAGGCTAGAATAGTTTCAAACATTTTGGGGTGGTGTTGTTATCACTGATCAGGCTAGTAGATGTTCTTGGTTAATTTCCATCCTTGTTCTTCAGGGACCAACTATTTCTAGGGCAGGGTTGGTGCGGTGCAGGTTTTGTTTGAGATAAAATGATTTCAGGCAGTGCTTCAAGATATACAATGTTTCAACTGGAAGATGGCAACAAACGATCTTGCTTAAACAAAAACACAATTATTTTGAAGACCAACACTCTGCCCTGTGAATGTTTGTTTTGTTTGTTTTTTTACGCCACACTCAGCAATATTCCAGCTTTATGACGGCGGTCTGTAAATAATCGAGTCTGGACCAGACAATCCAGTGATTAACATCATGAGCATTGATCCACATAATTGGGAAACGTTGACATTGATCAACCAAGTCAGCGAGCCTGACCACCCGATCCCCTTAGTCGCCTCTTACGACAAGCATAGTCACCTTTTACAGCAAGCATGGGTTTCTGTAGCCCTATTCTACCAAGATGTACTGAACTGATATTAACTAACAAGATGTGCTGAACTGATATTAACTAACAAGATGTGCTGAACTGATATTAAGGAACAAGATGTACTGAACTGATTGCATGTGGTCACTTACCTGAATGATATAGCGAATGAGTATTGGTCAGTTCCGCTGTGTCGCACCAGGAAGGAGCCATCGTGAGGCATCCGCTTCAGTAGGTCCTCTCCCTCTGCCCGGCTCATGTTGTCATGGTACCAACTGCACATCAAACATCAAGCATCAAACATCAAGCATCAAGCATCACACTTACCATCGTTTTGAACAGCATATTTCAGTTATATCATGACATGTCAGCTTGATGTGGGAGGAAAGTCCAAAGTTAGGGGGGTACAAAATAACTGGTGTACTGGTATATTGCAATACGGCTGTCATCATCACACATATCGCAATATAACCCTTGCATATTGATATTTGCCAATGCAGTAACAGAAGAATTGATGTATAATTAATTGTATAAATCATATCTACTATATTGAGCCAGTTGGATGGACTGGGTTCATATCTAAACCATGTAAACAGCACATGCTTCATCTTTACATTAACATTCCATATTGATGTCATAATAGGTAGTCTTGTTTATCCATAATACCCAACTCGCAATCTAAAGACTCAATGACAAAGTACCATTAGGACTGCCCAAAAGTATATAATTTGGGCCCTAATATGCAGTCATATGTATCGCAATACAGCTCTCCATATTGCGACATATTGCAATACAATTTATGTGCCAGAGTGTTGCAGGTCTTAGACATTTACCACTTTGGTGAAACCCATTAGCACAGGTTGGTGCAGATAAACCTAGAAACATATTCAGATGTAGGTTACAGGCATGCTTAAGGGACGCAACTCTGCACAGACACTTAGATGACTGGGCCACCATCAACTTCGACCCTACAATATCCCTACAATGCTAAATAAATAGCATTCCACTTTATCTCAACTCATATATTTGGGTCAATAATTAAAGTAGCTGTGCTTGTAGAATTCAGTACTTCATGTTCACTGAAATTGATTTCATTGTCCGAATATGAGAGTCATAATACTTGTTCTGCAATATAACCTTGTAAAACTATGAGTAAGGCTATGGCTCTATGTATGGATGCATAGAGGTCAAGGCCATAGCCTACTAACTCCTTCCTGTCATGACTGTAACAAAGAAATGGAGACAATAACTCTGTGATGTATAGAAAAGCAGATGTTATGAATCTGTGAGGTATAGGGAAGTGGAGGCTATGACTCTGTGATGTATAAAGAAACAGAGGCTATCACTATCTGATGTCTAAAGAAGTGGAGGCTATGACTCCGATGTCTAAATAAGTGGAGGCTATGACTCTCTGATGTCTAAAGAAGTGGAGGCCATGACTCTCTGATGTCTAAAGAAGTGGAGGCTACGACTACCTGATGTCTAAAGAAGTGGAGGCTATGACTCCGATGTCTAAATAAGTGGAGGCTATGACTCTCTGATGTCTAAAGAAGTGGAGGCCATGACTCTCTGATGTCTAAAGAAGTGGAGGCTACGACTACCTGATGTCTAAAGAAGTGGAGGCTATCATTATCTGATGTCTAAAGAAGTGGAGGCTATCATTATCTGATGTCTAAAGAAGTGGAGGCTATGACTCTCTGATGTCTAAAGAAGCGGAGGCTATGACTCTCTGATGTCTAAAGAAGCGGATGCTATGACTCTATGATATCTAAAGAAGCGGATGCTATGACTCTGTGATGTCTAAAGAAGTGGAGGCTATGACTCTCTGATGTCTAAAGAAGCAGAGGCTATGACTCTGTGATGTCTAAAGAAGTGGAGGCTATGACTCTCTGATGTCTAAAGAAGTGGAGGCTATCACTATCTGATGTCTAAAGAAGCGGATGCTATGACTCTGTGATGTCTAAAGAAGCGGAGGCTATGACTCTCTGATGTCTAAAGAAGTGGAGGCTATGACTGATGTCTAAAGAAGTGGAGGCTATGACTGATGTCTAAAGAAGTGGAGGCTATGACTCTCTGATGTCTAAAGAAGCGGAGGCTATGACTCTGTGATGTCGAAAGAAGTGGAGGCTATGACTGATGTCTAAAGAAACAGAGGCTATCACTATCTGATGTCTAAAGAAGCGGATGCTATGACTCTGTGATGTCTAAAGAAGTGGAGGCTATGACTGATGTCTAAATAAGTGGAGGCTATGACTCTCTGATGTCTAAAGAAGTGGAGGCTATGACTCTCTGTCTAAAGAAGCGGATGCTATGACTCTGTGATGTCTAAAGAAGCGGCTGCTATGACTCTGTGATGTCTAAAGAAGTGGAGGCTATCACTATCTAATGTCTAAAGAAGTGGAGGCTATGACTGATGTCTAAAGAAGTGGAGGCTATGACTCTCTGATGTCTAAAGAAGTGGAGGCTATGACTCTGTGATGTCTAAAGAAGTGGAGGCCATGACTGATGTCTAAAGAAGTGGAGGCTATGACTGATGTCTCAAGAAGCGGAGGCTATGACTCTCTGATGTCTAAAGAAGCGGATGCTATGACTCTGTGATGTCTAAAGAAGCGGATGCTATGACTCTGTGATGTCTAAAGAAGTGGAGGCTACGACTCTGTGATGTCTAAAGAAGTGGAGGCTATGACTGATGTCTAAAGAAGTGGAGGCTATGACTCTCTGATGTCTAAAGAAGTGGAGGCTATGACTCTGTGATGTCTAAAGAAGTGGAGGCTATGACTCTCTGATGTCTAAAGAAGTGGAGGCTATGACTGATGTCTAAAGAAGTGGAGGCTATGACTCTCTGATGTCTAAAGAAAGTGTAGGCTATGACTGATATCTAAAGAAGTGTAGGCTATGACTGATGTCTAAAGAAGTGGAGGCTATGACTGATGTCTAAAGAAGTGTAGGCTATGACTGATGTCTAAAGAAGTGTAGGCTATGACTGATGTCTAAAGAAGTGGAGGCTATGACTGATGTCTAAGGAAGTGGAGGCTATGACTCTGTGATGTCTAAAGAAGTGGAGGCTATGACTGATGTCTAAAGAAGTGGGGGCTATGACTCTCTGATGTCTAAAGAAGTGGAGGCTATGACTGATATCTAAAGAAGTGGAGGCTATGACTCTCTGATGTCTAAAGAAGTGGAGGCTATGACTGATATCTAAAGAAGTGGAGGCTATGACTCTGTGATGTCTAAAGAAGTGGAGGCTATGACTGATGTCTAAGGAAGTGGAGGTTATGACTCTGTGATGTCTAAAGAAGTGGAGGCTATGACTCTGTGATGTCTAAAGAAGCGGAGGCTATGACTGATGTCTAAAGAAGTGGAGGCTATGACTGATGTCTAAAGAAGTGGAGGCTATGACTCTCTGATGTCTAAAGAAGTGGAGGCTATGACTGATGTCTAAAGAAGTGGAGGCTATGACTCTGTGATGTCTAAAGAAGTGTAGGCTATGACTGATGTCTAAAGAAGTGGAGGCTATGACTGATGTCTAAAGAAGTGGAGGCTATGACTCTGTGATGTCTAAAGAAGGGGAGGCCATGACTGTGACATATGAAGAAGTGGAAGCGATGATCCTACTTGCGCCATGATCCTACTTACTCCTTGCCCTCATGACTCTGTGGCTGTGGCACAGGCTCCTTGAGGATCATAGTGAAGTCGGAGCTTCGGAGTGGGAACTGCCGGTAGTGGGTGATGAGGCTGTACAGGGAGTCAAAGGTCACCGCGTCAATCAAGTAGTACTTCACCTGACCTCTCTCTTGTCGCGATCTGATGCGGCAGTGGTTCACCTTACCCTGGCGCCTACAACAGAGATGAGGACTGCTTTAACCTTGAGTGGAAAGCAATCACTTCAGGAAAGTGAGTGAGTGAGTGAGTGAGTGAGTGAGTGAGTGAGTGAGTGAGTGAGTGAGTGAGTGAGTGAGTGAGTGAGTGAGTGAGTTGAGTTTAATGCCGCTTTCAACAGTATTCCAGTTATATCACGGCGTGTCAGCTTAATGTGGGAGGAAAGCCCGAAGTGACGCAGGTATCAGACGTTAGCACTTCGGTGAAACCCATGAGCACGGGTATGGTGCTGACAAACCTAGAAACATAACTGGGGCAAACCGGGATTCGAACCCACGATCGTAGGTTTCTGGCGTGTCCAAGGGACGCAACTCTGCCCAGCAAATCGCGGCGCTTTAGGACGACTGGGCCACCCGTGCCCCGAGTGTATGTAGATTGACTCCTAAGTCATCAATATCCCAAATACATCCCGCCAGTCTGTGAATAATGGTGTCTTCCATCTAGACCTGTGACTGAAAACATGAGATCCAAAGCTTCAAGGGACATTAACATGACAAACAATCAGTCTCCCTATGTAGTTATCAATTCTCACTAAACCATTCCGCTGTTAGCCGTAATAGGTGAACAAAAATGGATTGTTATACCTCTTGCAATTTCACTGGTTATTCCGTACTATGTGACGCAAGAAACAATACATTTCAATGCAGACCCCCAAATCATGTGACAGACACTGAGACTGACTCATCACATGATCAGTATTGATGAATACTGACTCATCATATGGTCAGTATTGATGAATACTGACTCATCACATGGTCAGTATTGATGAATACTGACTCATCACATGATCAGTATTGATGAATACTGACTCATCACATGATCAGTATTGATGAATACTGACTCATCACATGGTCAGTATTGATGAATACTGACTCATCACATGATCAGTATTGATGAATACTGACTCATCACATGATCAGTATTGATGAATACTGACTCATCACATGGTCAGTATTGATGAATACTGACTCATCACATGGTCAGTATTGATGAATACTGACTCATCACATGATCAGTATTGATGAATACTGACTCATCTGCAAGAAAACATCTGGTAAACCATCATTTTACGGTTCGCAGCTGTAATGAAACAAAGGTCAGATTAAAGGCTTCTTAAACATTAATGTGCATTTTGGTAAAAAAACCGAAACATTCGGAGGGCAGACCACCTCAGGGATCAGGTCCGAGGGTCTTTGTTTTTGGCATATTGATCTCGTCAAGAGTAATTATTTGTATATTGTTTGTTTGTCGCAGTATGCAGCTGACCAGATAGCCTTATCAAGTTGTACTGTAAGTCCTGACCAGACAAACCACATTCGTGACCAACTCGTGTTATTCCGGGACAAGCCGAATAGCGACTCGTGCCCCTCTCGTGGCCATTTTTGCGACCGGGTTCCGTCTTAGCGCAAACGGGCATACCTAAAACAATTGTCAATTCGTTGCGTAATGGTTCACATACATTTCCCAATATATTATTTATATTTCAGATGCAATTTAAAGCACATCGGGAGGGGCGGAATTATACAGTATGATTGAACACATTTAACTGTGTCTTGGGTATATTTTTAGATGCAAGTTATATGTAAAATCAAAAATTATTTCTGAGGGATTCTTTGACATAGTACTTGAAACCATACGCGCAATCTGATTGGTTTGTCGTATTTTCACACATAACATTCATCGATAGGGGGACGAGACTTCTTGCAGGTTACGGAAAGGGGCGAGTGGTGACGAATGGACAAACCAGTGAAATGAAAAACAACTAACAGATGCTAACTGATCATTTTCAGTTGGGATCACAGTCATCAAATACAATTTTGAAAAAATCCCAAACTATCAAAAGGCATCAGTTTACTATTAGACCTATGTATGAGCCAAGTTTGGCTAAGATATCTCATGTCTTTATGTTCTGCTCCAGAAATTAAATGTGACAGAAGGACTGAAGGATGTACAGACAGCACCCTTTCCTATATCCCCCTTCCACCTCATGGCGGGGAATAATTAATTGTGTGTATGGGTCAACAAAGCTTATTGTACTGACAGACAGACAGATTTATCAATATTGCAGTTCTCATCCACAGTTATCATGGTAATTACCAAACTTATTTAAAAAATATAAAGCATCCCATCAAAATAGGAACCATGCAGGACCCATTCCACAAAGTGATCAAAGCGCTACGACTATCATAAGCCTATGAGAGTTAATCTTAGTGCTAAGATCGCTTTGTGGATACAGACACAACGTACACAACAGACACAACGTACCAGAAGGACAACGAGAAGTCTCCAACGAAGGTATCACTCTCCCGGACAAGGAAAGTGCCATCCCCGAGGTAGCTGTACTGATGGAGGAGTTCCTCGGCCCGCCGACGTCCCCCCTCAAGGCGGCCATGGAACCACCGCTCACTGAAGTGAAGCTCTTCTGTAGCTCGGTTCTGATTCAACAAGTACAGGGAGAAGGACACAATCAGTGAGTTCAGTTTAACGCCGCTTTGAACAGAATTTCAGTCATATCATGACAATTCTCACAAAACCAATTAAATATATATATAAGAGAAGCATCCATAAGATGAGAAGAAATGACTACAACAAAAACACGAGGTAGTTTCTGCAAACCAATTATTGTGGTAATCCATTTCTCAGTTACATTAGTTGAGTTTTACCCTGATGAAATAAGGGTGTACCTTCACTAGTTCAATGGCTTATTCAAAGATTGTGTCAGCATTACCTCAAGAGAGTTTGTACCCTGTTGAAATAAGGGTGTACCTTCACTAGAAACACATCAAGTTCAAGGATTTATTCAAAGATTGTGTCAGCATTACCTCAATAGAGTTTTACCCTGATGAAATAAGGGTGTACCTTCACTAGAAACACATCAAGTTCAAGGATTTATTCAAAGATTGTGTCAGCATTACCTCAATAGATGCACTGTCATCATCATCGGTCTCATCATCCATGTCGGACGTCTGGGTCTCCTCGGTGTAGTAGAGCTTGTTGTGGGTCAACACAAAGAAATGAGGGTGCCACGTCTGAAACACAGCAGTAGGCTTCACAATGCTGAACAAGCCTTAATACAGATGCTTCAAACTGTATGCATCATCATCATCATCATCATCATCATCATCATCTCCTTCAGTCGCCATCATCATCATCATCATCATCATCACTGGGTACAGTCTTCATCTTCATCATCATTGGGGACAGTCTGGACCAGACAATCCAGTGATAAATATCATGAGCATCGATCCACGCAATTGGGATCGATGACATGCATCAACCAATTCAGCAAGCCTGACCACCCAATCCCGTTAGTCGCCTTTTACGACAAGCATAGTCGCCTTTTACGGCAAGCATGGGTTGCTGAAGACCTATTCTACCCCGGAATTTTCACGGGTCCATGATATAGTGAGCAACAATCAATGCCTTCAAGGTGTCAGGCATGCTATCAACCAAGTCACTGAGCCTAACAACCCAATCTGTATGGTCGCCTCTTCCAATTAGCATAGATTGCTGGGGACAATTCTAACCCAGATGCCACATGGGGCGAAATGTCATAACTTTTGTCCCTTGAGAAAATAATTACTGTTCTGAGGCTGCATAAAGACGGTCATTAAAAACTCCTAATTGTCTAATCATCCCGTTCAAGTGACTAAATATGTGGGTGATTGTACATTAAATATATTTAAACACTTTTTAACAATGAGCCAAATGAAAGCTTTTTCATGGAGAAATCACATTTTCCAATGCACCTATATTCCCTAACAATGTTGTAATCATATTGTCAATATTGCTAACAATTTAATTGAACAAAATTATACGCCATGTACTAGGCCTGGGACGGGTAATTCGGGTACTCGGGTCGGGTGGGTCCTGAGTAGGACCCGGGTACCCACAAGACCACCCGGACCCATGGACCCATAATGTGTCTTCTATCTAGACTAATGACTGAAAACATGAGATCCAAAGCTTCAAGGGACATTAACTATTAAACTCTATGGTTACACTATAAGTCACTAATGTCATTTCTTTCTGACAATGCACCCATTCCTTCTGACTTTTATATGTTAGAATACAGATAAAACTTCATGCAGTAAAACTTCAGTGTATGCATGACCAGATCATTTTACACGTGTATCTAAATACATTTTGCCAGGGCTATGGTCAAACGTTACCAAATCGGACAGTTTGTACCTATCTCCTTAAATATCTACAACAGGTACCTGGGTAGGGTCGGGTAATAGGGTGGTGGGTACCCGGGTAGTAAATCTGGACTCGTCCCAGCCCTACCATGTACCCTGTCCAAATCAGATTTAGTTCCAGGAATGAAAATTGCGACTTGACTGTATTTATTTCTTCCCTCCAAGCACTTCAACATACTAAATTACATGTAGCAAACCTCTTACAATGACCATGATACGGAATGGTGAAGTAACCAGGGTAACAGTAACTGTTGGCAACGTACATGATCGACTGGGTCCTCGAGGTACATCATCCCGTTCTTCATGGAAGAGCTGAGATCCACATCCAGGTTGCTGTCTTCGTTGGACACTGTGTACTTCCACTCGTTGCCATCGACCCACTCAGGGAGCTTCTTATGCTGTGAATGGAAATACAGGACACTGTTTAACTAGCTGGAGACTGGATGGGTGGTTGTTTGGAAAGGTGAGTGAGTGAGTGAGTGAGTGAGTGAGTGAGTGAGTGAGTGAGTGAGTGAGTGAGTGAGTGGGTCATTGTTTGGGTGAGTGAGTGAGTGAGTGAGTGAGTGAGTGAGTGAATGAGTGAGTGAGTGAGGTTTAACGCTGCACTCAGCAATATTCCAGCATTACGTCAGTGGTATGTAAATAAGAGTGTGGACCAGACCAACCAGTGATTGACATCATGAGCATTGATCCATGCAATTGGGATACGTTGACATTGATCAACCAAGTCAACGAGTCTGACCACCTGATCCCGTTAGTTGCCTCTTACGACAAGCATGGGTTGCTGAATACTTATTTCAACCCAGGTTTTCACAGGTTCTATATTTTATACTGACCATCCGATTCACTTCTATGCTGACCACCCAATACATCTCTATGCTGACCAACTGATACATTTCTATGTTGTGTATACAACAAATTTCTACATTTACCAACCCTATACAATTCTAATTCACATCCCCACAGGGGGGACAATAATTGACTTCATTCTACAAGTGAATATTCAAACCACTTTGATAGCATTGTGCCAAACTCAACTACATTCCCAACACTCACCTTCAAAATAATCTTATTCTTCAGGTTTGCTGGGGACGGTAAGGCTGTTGCATCTTTGCTGATGGGCTCGATCAGAAGATGATCTGGAAGGCAGTAATCAACACTCTACCATGAATATGGAAAAAGCATGCTGATTGGTCAATCAGGGGTATCAGTTCACAATAATCATCTCAGATTGAAACAGCTGATTTTAAATTCCGAGCTACATTATCTGTATATCTTAATATGCTTACTTTAACATTTGAAACCTCATGAATTGAAGTTCATAAATGGAACGAAACAAGATGCTGTTACAACATAATGTTTACTCGTTCAATAAATACGCAGCCATCTTGGGGCCCCGGATGCTCGCTCCTGGGCAGCCAAGGCATTTGTCAAGTATATAACATTAAACACATGATACAATTCCCAATTTGAATTCACCCAATATATCGAGCATGAAAAAATGATATTGTGATACGTATTGTGGAAAGAATGAATCTCAATTTACCGAAATACAGGTAATACCTCACATCCTTACCACGTTCAGTATTGTTTGCACAAATTATTACTGACATAATAATTATTAATGATGATAAGCTGTAAGACTAATCAAGGAGTTTTTATTATCACAGCTGCAAGGGACAAGTACTACTCACCACCAAATGTTTCTCTGAACGCCATAGCCATGTTTCTCTGCTGCCCTAAACTACAGTGATTCTCTATGGACAAAATCAGAGGATACCTACAATAAAATAAGCATATCAGTCACAATGGTACAAAAGTTGGAGGATGGTCGAGTGACATGGTGAATGGATGAGACATATTGGGAATTGACGAGTGACATGGTGAATGGATGAGACATATGGTGAATGGATGAGACACATGGTGAATGGATGAGACACAGGGTGAATGGATGAGACACATGGTGAATGGACAAGTGACATGGTGAATGGATGAGACATATGTTGAATGGATGAGACATATGGTGAATGGATGAGACATGGTGAATGGATGACAAACATGGTGAATGGATGAGACACAGGGTGAATGGATGAGACACATGGTAAATGGATGAGACACATGGTGAATGGATGAGACACAGGGTGAATGGATGAGACACATGGGGAATGGATGAGACACATGGTAAATGGATGAGACACATGTTGAATGGATGAGACACATGTTGAGTGGATGAGACACATGTTGAGTGGATGAGACACATGTTGAGTGGATGAGACACATGTTGAGTGGATGAGACACATGGGGAATGGATGAGACACATGGGGAATATATGAGACACATGGTAAATGGATGGGACACATGGAGAATGGATCAGACACATGTTGAATGGATGAGACACATGGGGAATGGATGGGATATTAGTGAGTTAATGAGTTGGGTTCAGCGCCGATATGAACAATGTGTCAGCTCCACCTGGTAGAGAAGTGGTTGCGGTCTTAGATGTAAATTTAGCATGGGTGGCATGGGTAAACATAGAAACATTATCGGGGTGCACAAAGATTCGAACCCAAGTTCTTAGGCTTCTGGCATGCCTAAGGGACGTAACTCTGCACAGTGAATTGCAGTGTCTTTGTTGACGGGGCCATGACCAGTATTTGATATTAAAGCAAGTTTGACCCAATCTTTGCTGTCTACTTACGCTGATGTTGAGAAAGCATGTTCTTTGATCACTTTGAGAACATCTAGGAATTTGACCTTTGAAGTGAGTGTGTGGCCATGGTAGATGTATGGATGACTGTCAGGGCCATCCCAACAGTCCACTGCAATAGCAAAATAGGAATATAGAAAATGGTGTCAACTGCGTATCATTTAAAAGATGTGTTTGTTTGTTGCATAATGCCATACTCAGCAATATTCCAGCAATATGACAGTTTCATGTAAATAACCTAACCAGACAATCCAGTGATTGATATTAAGAGCAACAACCAAGCCATTAGGGTACAATGACATACCATAAAGCAAATCACTGAGTCTGACCACCCGATCCATTACAACTAGCAGAGGATGCTGGGGTTCAGTTCACATATTAAAGTGAGTGAGTATGCTTTTACGCCTCTTTTAGCAATATTCCAGCAATATCATGGTGGGGGGCACCAGAAATGGGCTTCACACAATGTGCCCATGTCAGAAATCGAAAGTGGGTCTTCAGCGTGACTGGCTAACGCTTTAACCACCACTAGGCTACCCGACTGCCCCCACCTATTAAAGAAGCAAACACAAACATGGTAAGCACACTGAGATACCAGGCTGCAGTTTAACATGGATACTCCGACACAGTTTACTGATTCCTAGCCGTCCAATCTGTTTTATTCCCTTGATGCCGAGCGCCAGGCAGGGTAACAAGAAGTATCATCTTTTAACATCTTTTGGCATGTCTTAGACCTTCTGCTCTCTGATTTGACAACTAAGCTTGATCCCTTTCTTGATAATAAAAAGAATGAGGAAAAAAGACTTACGTTCAAGGCACCTGCAGCCCATTCTTAAACACCGGACGTAGGCTTCAACTGATGATTCACTGGAGAACTGATCTCCTGTTAGGTATCTGAAATAACAGGATGCTGCAAGTCACATCACTATCACTCGCTATGCAACATTCAACGCTGGTCGGATACAATTGTGGAGGTACATACATACTCCCCTCTTCCCTAATGCAAGTGGGGGCCGATTCTAACAGGTCCGCAGTAGCACACACATTAACTGTGGAAACAAAGAAAATATTATCAAGATGTTTGTCATTAATATCTGATTTTGTGTGTGAGTGAGTTGGGTTTAATGCCGCTTTTAACAGTATTCCAGTTATATCACGGCATGTCAGCTTAATGTGGGAGGAAAGCCCGAAGTGATGCAGGTCTCAGACGTTTAGCACTTCACTGAAACTTCCAAATGAAAGCCATTGATGATGACTGCAGCTGCAACCGACTGACTGTCATGTCTAATGAATTCAAGTTTTCATGATGTCGGGTACAATGACATGGAATCAACCAAGCCACCAAGTCTGACCACCTGATCCATTTAGCAGCCTGTTACGGCCAGCATAGATTGCTGGGGACCCATAATAGTCACATATAATGGAGGAATGCAGGGTATTCAAACCCTGTGAGCAAAACGGCTGCCTGCACACAAACCTGTTGATAGAAAAATGAGCATTTCTGATTAAATGCAATGTTTTTATACTTGCCTGACGCTACACAATGCTATAGGAGTAGCATCAGGTAAGGTAAAACATGAGCATTTCTGAATAAATGCAATGTTTTTATGCTTACCTGACACTACTCAATGCTATAGGTGTAGTGTCAGGTAAGGTACAACATGAGCATTTCTCTTTAAATGCAATGTTTTTATACTTACCTGACGCTACACCTATAGCACTGTGTAGCATTAGGTAAGGTAAAACATTTTAGTTAGGTTAAAGAATCTGAAAGGGCCCTAACCCGATTGGCTACTGAATTTTGAAAGTGTTTTTTAAGCACAGTTCTCCCGTTTCTGTAGATCAACACGACCATCAAATATTCAAATCAAGATTGCAATGTTGCGACGTTTACAAGCTACAATTTACCCCCTTCATAACATTTGACTCATTTGCACTTTGGGATTCCTTTGTCGATACCTTTGCAGAACAAACCTGTCACTTATCTAAGCTAGTGAAATTTGAAAATGTAACTTTAAGGCCAGCTGGCCAACCTGACAAGCAATACTTGGAGACTATTTTACACACTGTATACAAACCCATGGCTTACTGCCGAAAAGAGCGTTTTGGAAACTATACTTACGTGTTATGAGATGACGCGATCCAGTAATGAGAAAGAGGGAAATTCATTTCATGGGTGATGGCATCATTCCTTGTGTCCCATATTGTATTGTGAGGCGAGAACAAGAAGTCTTCGAACTGAAAACCACAGATACACACATACACACAAGATATAAGCAAACACTCCACTCCACTCCGCCATCTTCTCGAGACAAGGGTGTTAACTGACTATAAAAGTCCAGTTTCCACCCTTGCTGAACTGGGCTGGAATTCCGAAGTTTCATTTTGGCTGGACTAACAATCTATGCATAGTCCGTGCCGCAGTTTAACATGAATACGTCACTCAGACACTGTATACAGACTCCGAGCCAACCAGTCCTTGTTGTATCCCCTTAATGCGAAGCACCAGGCAGGGTAACAACATTTATATCTTTTAACGGCTTTTAGGTAAAACAAATTTGGGGATCGAACCCAGTACTTTCCTCTCTCGGGGGGATGCTCTACCACGAGACCAAGGAGGCAGTCCCTTACACTAACAAACCTAGTCAGTTAACAACTTTACAAACATCTTTCATGCAAATCGATGTGACCAATCTTGTAAACACATGTTCTGTCTGCAGGTTTTCAACCTTCTCCATTGATGTAATGACTAACTAATTCTGTTTGACTTGACGATGACTTAGAGATCCTAGGCTTCTTTGTTGTTTCACATAGCAGTCGATAGCGGTGTCTGGGCCAGACAATCCAGTGATTGATATCATGAGCACCACACACAAGTCTGACAACCAGATCCATAACTTGCCTCTTATGATAAGCTCTGAACTGCTAGGATCAATTATAACCATGATAACCTGATTCCCTTCAGAGGTTATGGATGTCTAACGTTCATCTGTTCCTATCCTGTTTTAACGGATGATGATCTTTGCAAGGACTGACCTCTATCTCTGTGAAGTAGAGCCCTCCAGCCAAACGCACCATCTCGTCCAGGAACGTCGTCATCAGGTTCCTCACATAGCTGATGTCTGTCGCGTTCCCATCCTGACAACACACAATTAGAGGTGTAACGATATGGTGGGGTTGCTATGCTATGGTTGCAACACAATTCATATCCCTATATAGTACTTTTATTTCATAAGTTGATATTCTTTTTGCAGGTGAATCACAACCTTGAATCATTTGTTTCTAAATTTCAAAGATCGATGACTGGACACTGAAGGGCAAAAATATATTGGCTAGAGTGAGTGAGTGAGTACGGTTTTACACCGCTTTATCACGGCAGGGGACACCAGAAATGGGCTTCACACATTGTACCCATGTGGGGAATCGAACCCGGGTCTTTGGCGTGACAAGCTAACGCTTTACCCACTAGGCTACCCGACTGCCCCTATTGGCTAGAGGACACTGTGAATGTTGAGCTATGAATACAAGAGAAATTGCGTCAGCTGCTTGTTGAGCAGTTTCTGTTACTATTCAAATGTATTTACACCAAAATAACTTGGAATGTTTGTTTGTTTGTTTGCACTCAGCAATATTCCAGCTGCTGCTATATAATGCCATCAGACAATCCAGTTATTAACATCATGAGCATCAATCAATACAATTGGGATACAATGACATGCATCAACCATGTCAGCAATCTCACCACCCATTCCCGTTAGTCGCCTCTTATGACAAGCACTTTTGCCATTTAAGGCCAGCATGGGTTGCTGAATACCTATTCTACCACAGATCTTCATGAGTCGGTCACACTGAGTGAGTGACTGTGGTTGAACGCCACTTTGAAGAGTTTTTCAGCTATACAACAGCGTGTCAGCCTAATGTGGGAGGAAAGACCGAAGTGATGCAGGTCTTAGACTTTTACCACTTTGGTGAAACTCATGAGCACGAGTATGGTGCTGACAAACCTAGAAACATTGCGGGGGCTGATTGGGATTGGTACCCATCATCATATGTTTCTGGCATCCCAAGGGACACAACTCAACACAGCTATTTGCGGCCCCTTCGACAACTGGGCCCCCACCCCACCACCCCGTTTCCCCGAGTGTTACTGGTAATTAGGGCTGGGACGAGTCCAAATTCACTCCCCGGGTACCCACCCGGGTTTTACCCGACCCTACTGTAGGGTACCCACTGTAGGTCTCAGGAAATGTCTCAAAATGTCTGATTGGGAACATTTTTAGCATAGCCTGGCAAAACATATTAAGATACATGTATTAAACAATCTGGTCATTCATACACTGATGTTGAATTAAGTTATATCTTTATTCAACCATATGGAAAATCAGAAGGAATGGGTGCATAGTCAGAAAGAAATGCGAACATTAGTGACTTGGAGTGTTACCATAGAGTTCTTGATAGTTTTTGTCATTAAACAATATATCACGTGACTAACCACGGGTCCGGGTAGTCCTGTGGGTACCCGGGTCCTACTCAGTACCCACCCGACCCGGGTACCCGAGTTACCCGCCCAGCCCTACTGGTAATGTTTATCAGACATCATGCTATCAAAATATCACACTGTACAACTATTCACCTTTTGTTCTTCATGTAAAAATTGTTGAAATCTTTCAGCTGTCATCCTCCTGTTAAAAAATGGATCAAGGCAAAATAAATATGAAAAATGCAGCACAATCCTAGTCTGAATGTCAATCAATCATTTCAAATTCAAAATACACCACATACATCGTTTTGTTTTGTTTTGTGTTCTATGCTGAAGAGGGGCGGTCGGGTAGCCTAGTGGTTAAAGCGTTCGCTCGTCACGCCGAAGACCTGGGTTCGATTCCCGACATGGGTACAATGTGTTAAGCCTATTTCTGGTGTCCCCCGCCGTGATATTGCTGGAATATTGCTAAAAGCGGCGTAAAACCATACTCACTCACTCACTCTATGCTGAAGACATATTCCCTTCATATCATGACAGTCTGCAAGTAATCCATTCCCGACCAGAAAAACATTGAGTGATGTTTGGGGTACAAAGACATCCAATCAACCAAGTCACCATGCCTGACCAAGTAATTCACTTCAGTAGCCCAGAGCTACAGATAAGCAGCATATTTGCGTAAAATACCCCCTAGAAATATTCATAACCCAATTACTTTCAATTAACTTGCGTACAGTAACGCATGCATTAAATGAAAAACTCAAATGTGTAGAACAGCGCTCGTAAATACCCAATGAAGCTTTCTTAGCATACGTACAAAGAAGCTAATTTCCAACACACAAATTACGAGCTAATTTCTTTTCTGAGTCAAGCTTATAAATTTAGAACAGTTATATACATCTAAAACATTATTTCATTTTTTAAAATCTTAAAATGTTCATTAATTTTGGGAAAAAAACAATAGAGTGATGAATAGAGGAGTGAAAAAATATTGGTTAACTTTTGAAAAATTAAATAACCCAATAAGAATAGAAACCCTAGAGTAAAACCTCAATTGCTCAAAAGTTATCTGGAGCTCTGGTAGCCTCTTACAACAAACAATAGAGGTGAGTGAGAGATATTCCAGCAATATCATGGCAGGGGACACCAGATATGGGCTTCACACATTGTTCTCATGTCGGAAATTGAACCCGGGTCCATGGCATGACGAAGGAATGCTTTAACCACAAGGCTACCCGACCACCCCACAAACAATGGAAGGCTTGGGACCTGTTCAACCCGGGGACAACTGGGTACCTCATTACAGAAAGGAAACAAAGACAACTGTATTTTCTGGAGTATAGTGCACGTCCCTCTAGATCTAGAGGATGCAGTATTTTGGAGAGAGAAAAACCCATGTTTTTTCGAATATTATGCAAATACCTACATTGTATCCCTTCAGAACAAACAGGCAATAACAAATTGGTTTAATATAGATGCAAATTTTTCGATAAAACATCACTAGACATGACATACCATTGAAATTAACATAAGCAATATTGAATGAAATTTTGAATAAAATTATAGAAATTAATAGAATAGATTACAAACATAAATCCATACAATAAACACTTTTTATAACCAGACAGTGTTATAACAGGATTAACTTGTGTACTTCAGTACAGATTTGTTGAAATGGTATTTCTGGGGTGACATCCTCACAGTAATGTCTTTACATTTTTCAAATCCATTAATAATATGGTGCGTATTATGCACACACCCCTCTACACAGCTCGATATTTTAGAAAAAAGTGTGCAGTATGCTAAAAATATGGGTAAATGACTTCCAGTCAGGTGAGCTAAAACCATGCCAAGGGTCTGCATAATACAAGTGTTACTACAAACACATAATATATATGTTTTGTTTTTGTTTGTTGGTTTACGCCGCACTCAGCAATATTTCTGCTATATGGCGGCGGTCTGAAAATAATCAAGTCTGGACCAGACAATCCAGTGTTTGGCATCATGAGCATCGATCCACGCAATTGGGATACGATGTCATGCATCAGCCAAGTCAGCAAGCCTGAGCACCCGATCCCGTTAGTCGCCTCTTACGACAAGCATAGTCGCCTTTTACGGCAAGCATGGGTTGCTGAAGACTTATTAACAATAACAAACAGTGACAATAATCTCTAAATATGTTGCATAAACTACCACCGACACCTCATCTTCAGAGACTAATGATAACCTACCTTTCCTCGCCACACGATTCAAAATACTTCTCAAAGTGTTCAGAGGCAATCTGAAGTCAAGGCAAACAATACACTAAGGATGCAATAATATTAATTAATGTAAAATAATGTAGAACACAAGAATGGAGTTTGGTTTAGCCTCTATTTCAGAAGTGTTTATTTGTTGTTAAACACCACACTCAGCAATATTACAGCTACATGACGGCAGTCTGTAAATAATCGAGTCTGGACCAGATATCCAGTGATTGACATCATGAGCATCATGACAAGCATCAACAAAGTCAGCGAGCCTGACCGATCCCGTTTGTCACCTCCTACAACAAGCACAGTCGCCTTTTACGACAAGCATTGATTGCTGAAGACCTATTCTACCCCGGATCTTCACGGGTATATATATAATGAAAGAAGAAAAAGATTTCAGCAACCATAGTTATCAGCTGATTATATAATATGTTTGTTTGTTTGTTTAACACCGCACTTAGCAATATTCCAGCTATATGATAGCAGCCTGTAGACAATCAAGTTTGAACCAGACAATCCAGTGACAGATATTGTGAACAACGATCCACTCTGTCAGAGTGCGAACACACACTATCAAACAAGTCACCGAAATGACCACCCATTCCATTCAGTCGCCTCTTCAACCAGCATAGCTAGCTTGGAATCAATTCTAACCCGGGTTATTATGTCATAAACTTATGCACGTCCCTTTATCAATTGTTAAACAATACTAGTTGATTTGTTTGTAGCTGTACTTACACTCTTCACATGGACCAGTCGGTGGTAGAGGCAGGAGAACTGTTCAAACACTATCTCTCCTTTACCACTGGAGTCAACCTCCTGGAACACAATGTCAGACCCATGAGGCATTTTATTTGGTAAAGCCGCATTCGACGTAATAAGCGCCCCGCTCTAATAAGCGCCAACGGCAATATTTGCTAATATATTGGCTAGTGAACAATCCCAATTAGCACCCTTTTGATTGATCAATGTACACAAGACTTATTTATTTGTGTATAATAAGCACTCATGTGTTATATGCGCCCTTAATTACACAATTTACAGGCAATTAAATTCTGGAAAAAATATATCTGTCATGTATAATAGGCACAGACTTTTCTTTTGTATCATTTACCACAAAATTCAACTTTCAACTCTTTCACCAAAATTATTTACTAATAAGAGACCCCTATTTCTAATTTTGAGAGCGGCCAGGGTGCTTATTTTATTGAATACAGTAATTGTTTGACAGGTCTGTCAACCTAAAAATTTGTAATTTGGAGAAAAGAAACATTTAAAAAATTGAGGTGAAATGGGGTTTAACATCACATTTAAGATTATTGCACTTATGTAGGGACATGGGTGTACGTATGTGTGTGTGGCTGGCGTAATAGTCCAGACGTAGTGTATACCGGTTCTATAGTGAGAGTCCATTGAGAAACCATGCCCCAGCATACACAAGGGAGACAACTGTGGATTCCTGGGAACTTATTCTGCCCCAGTACTCGCTCCTTCCCAGCACATGACAATAATGTTACACTCTCGGTATCATTTCTGCCACTAGTGTAGAAGCCGCCATTACGAGAATCTTCAAATTTGCCCTCTAACCCTAAATGTTGTAACATTTATACCTTTGCTTATGTCATTGAGAATGCTATGATAGCGAATTTTGAAAAGATTTACACCTGACCAGATTTCCCAAATGAATTTACCTTTTTGTTTGTTTAATCAGATTGGTTTGAGATTGCAGACTAAAGGAAAATCACCCAACTTCCCTCTTACATTCCTACTATACCAATTACATGATAGTTTAAATGAAACAGAAATTCAAATTGCCAAAGAAAATTTAGCTGGGGTAAGAGTATTCAGCATTACGACAGTCATCACTTGTTCGTAAACATAACGGTCAGTCGGTTGCGAACTCAACTCCAAGCATGGTTGTAGCCACCTATCACAGTAGGGAGCTTTGACTGGTGGCAGCGATAGTATAGAGAGCTCCACGAACAGGCTATTGTTGGGCATACACAAGGGAGACAACTGTGGGATTACAGGGAACCTATTTTGCCCCAGCATCTGCCCTAGAATCCCCACAGAAATAATGCCCCCATTTCACTACAACTATGAATATCCCGAATCACCCCGAAAAGAAAAAATTTCATGTTCATAGATAAATCTCAATCATTTCTTGAAGTTCTTATATGAATCTTATTTGATTCCTAAAACATTCCTACAGTTCGCGGGAGTTCGTCTAATCGGCAAGAAAGTTTTTGTTTGTCAAAAAACTTTCACGGAAGGGTCCCCGAATTGCAATTTTGTGGCTGTATCATAATCCATTTGTAATTAATTTTTATGTTCTGTAACATAATCGTAATCGATTCTTTTGCATTCTTGGCTATTCTTAGGGATTTGTGGCTACCAAAATTTCTTGTCCTCAAACCGAAAACATCCTGAAACTGCCACGAATGTCCCAAGTCAACTACGAATCATGTAAGAATTAAGTAAGAACATTCGGCATATTCGTAACTTAGTCGTAGGTGATTCTTACAATTCGTGCATGATCCGTACATGAATCTTGTAACTCACTCACTCACTCACTTAACCCATTCCTTACATTCTTCATATTTTTTAACCTGATTAGCCACAAAAATTTGCATTATTGGCCGAATCCTCACGAATTTCGAAAGTTTCTGATTCAAGGTGATTCGGGATATTCGGGGTTGAAGTGAAAGGGGGGCATAAGATAGGACTACTGAGAGACTGTTCTACTCAGTATCCCCCCTGATCGGTCACAGTGCCCACCTGGAAAGTCTCTCGGAGTTTGCTGGTGGACATCTTGTAGTTGATCCTGGGCAGCCAGGCCTTCACATTCTTCAGAGTCACTCTGAAACACAGAATAAACAACATAGCCATGTACAAGTCACACTGCAATACATAGCGTACAATACAAATCAATACAATATTGCCGTACAAGTTTTAAAACTAGTTTGAAAGGATAAAAAACATGCCTGCTCTGCTTTACAAGAAACAGAGATTCGCTGTGCAGAGTTGCGTCCCTTGGGCATGCCATTAACCTAGAATTGTGGGTTCGAATCCTGATTGGCCCCGATTATGTTTCTAGGTTTTTCAGCACCATACCCATGCTCATGGGTGTAACTTAAGTGGTAAAGGTCTGAGACCTACATCACTTCGAGATTTCCTCCAACATTAAAACTGACACGCTTTGATATAACTGGAATACTGTTAAAAGCGGTGTTAAACCCAACTCTCTCACTCACTCATTCATATATTTAATTGTTAAACTGCCTGTGTCTTATATCATGTTTCAATACCAACAAAATTTGATCTTTGTGCTTGCTATTGCTACACAAGGACTGAATTCTGAAAATGTTCATGTGACTCCACAACGCATGAATCCTTTGGGCAAATGTTACTGATCACATACTACTCAAAAGAAGTTAAAGAAGACCCAATGTTTCCATTTCATATGAAAGAATCAGGTCTCCTTCAACTCTTTTTGTGTAGTATATGTACAGACCGAAGCACATCACGATCACAAGAATGTTCATACATCCAGGAACACAGTTCCACAAATGTCCTTCTGCTCAGGGACCCGTGAAGATTCCGGGTTAGAATAGGTCTTCAGCAATCCATACTTGCCGTAAAAGGCGCCTATGCTTGTCATAAAAGGCGACTAACGGGATCGGGTGGTCAGGATCGCTGACTTGGTTGATACATGTCATCGATCCCAATTGCGTGGATCGATGCTCATGATGTCAATCACTGGATTGTCTGGTCCAGACTCGATTATTTTACAGACCGCCGTCATATAGCTGGAATATTGCTGAGTGCGGCGTTAAACAACAAACCAACCAACCAACCTTCTGCTCAGGTGTGGTTTCCAAAAAATATTATAAATGTTATTTTGATAATCATTAATTGTGCCACTTCAGATCAATTTACACAAAGAGAATGAGTGTGAGTGAGTGAGTTGGGTTTAACGCCGCTTTTAACAGTATTCCAGCTATATCGGGGCGAGTCAGCTTAATGTGAAGGAAAGCCCAAAGTGATGCAGGTCTCAGACATTTCCCACTTTGGTGAAATCCACGAGCACGGGTATGGTGCTGACAAACCTAGAAACATAATCGGGGAGAAACCGAGATTCGAACCCACAATCATAGGTTTCTGGTGTGCCCAAGGGACGCAACTCTGCACAGCAAATCGCGGCGCCTTAGACGACTGGGCCACCCGTGTCCCCCTTCTAAGTGAATGAAGAATCATGATGCTAAAAGCTACATCAAGAATATCACTAGAAGGATACAGAAAAAGTTATCGTACTCACATTTCGGATCCTGACTTTTCCATCATGTAAAATTCTTTCCTCAGCCACCTGTTGGAAGATGAAGGAAAGGAGTATTATTGTTTTTTGCACTTTTGGTATATTTCTGTATGGAATCTATTGCCAAATAAGTGTATTATTACTATATTTTGTTTACACTAGTGGTGACACCATGTGAATCACGCTCCTCTGGTCACATTACACTTGTCACACTACCTTTCACACTACACTGGTCACACCACTATTCACACTACACTGGTCACACCACTATTCACACTTCACTGATCACACCACTATTCACACTTCACTGGTCACACCACTATTCACACTACACTGGTCACACCACTATTCACACTTCACTGGTCACACCACTATTCACACTTCACTGGTCACACCACTATTCACACTACACTAGTCACACCACTATTCACACTACACTGGTCACACCACTATTCACACTACACTGGTCACCTTACTATTAACACGACAAGCATCACACCACTATTCACACTACACTGGTCACACCACTATTCACTCTACTCAGGTCACATTACTATTAACATGACAAGAATCACACCACTATTCACACTACATGAGACATACCACTATTTACACTACACTGGTCACACCACTATTCACACTACACTGGTCACACCACTATTCACAGTACTCAGGTCACATTACTATTCACACTACACTGGTCACATTACTATTAACATGACAAACATCACACCACTATTCACACTTCACTTGTCACCACTATTTACACTACACAGGTCACACCACTATTCACACTACACTTGTCACCACTATTCACGCTATGCTTGTCACCACTATTCACACTATGCTTGTCACCACTATTCACACTACACTTGTCACCACTATTCACACTACACTTGTCACCACTATTCACACTATGCTTGTCACCACTATTCACACTACACTGGGCTCACCACTATTCACACTAGTCACACAACTATTCATACTAGTCACCACTATACACACTAGTCACACCACTAGTCACCCCACTATACACCCTAGTCACACTATACACACTAGTCACACCACTAGTCACCCCTCTATACACACTAGTCACCCCACTATACACACTATTCACACCACTATACACACTAGTCACACCACTAGTCACCCCACTATACACACTAGTCACACCACTATACACACTATTCACACCACTATACACACTATTCACACCACTATACACACTAGTCACACCACTATACACACTAGTCACACCACTATACACACTATTCACACCACTATTCACACTAGTCACACCACTATACACACTAGTCACACCACTATACACACTATTCACACCACTATACACACTAGTCACACCACTATTCACACTCGTCACACCACTATTCACACACGTCCCCCTTGGCAGTACCCACCGCTCCAGCTGCAGCTGATAGGAGGCTTCCTTGGTGTCCCTGACCAGGTAGTCCAGCCCCTTCATCCATACCACGAACTCCTCCTTCGAGTTGGCTGCAACAACAACCAGCGTATCAACACCAGTAACACAACAAGTAGTAACCAAGAGTCGTGTGGAATCACACACTATCTGCCAATGTTGACATCAATTAAAAAAGGGACAGACAATAGATGAATTTGAATTGTGAGTAGTCAGCGAGCCTGATCACCCGATCCCGTTACTCGCCTCTTATGACAAGCACAGTCACCTTTTACACTAAGCATGGGTTGTTAAAGACCTATTCTAATCCGGGTCATCACGGGTCAATGAATAAGGGACCTTTACAGATGGCCTGGCCGCGCCCCTGGACCAGACACTACAGTGGCTCAACGCATGTTGAACATGGAAATCAAGTTGATTGATTTCACTGTGGAAATCAACCCATTTATGCTACCAAATCAGTATATGAATCTTAATAATAGGGTTCTACAGTCAGTTCGCAAAATTGATGCATGACTTTTACAACCATCGTACATCCTACTATTTATTAAAGTGGATGAGTGTGCGAGTATGGTTTTACGCTGCTTTTAGCAATATTCCAGCAATATCATGGCAGGGGACACCAGAAATGGGCTTCACACATTGTACCCATGTCGGGAATCGAACCCGGGTCTTCGGCTTGACGAGCGAACGCTTTAACCACTAGGCTTCTCGACCGCCCCCTATTTTTTAAAGGAATGTAAAAGCACAAACCTACACAGTGCAAGGCAAATGAGCAACTTTACAGTAGAAAGCTTCAGCAATCTCCATGGAAACCAAATAGTGACACCAACAGATGGAAAACAGTTCCTATTTGTTTTTAATTTTCGAATGCAGTGCTAGTTCCCAAGGGAAATCATTAATTATCAAATATTCATTTTCCTCTTTTATCTTGAACAGCCCGACAGCTGAAGTCAAGACAGCTGAAGTCAAGGAAGCTGCAGCGCTGCACTACACCGTGCTCAAGGGCAATTAGCTCTTACAGCCTGTACTCTACAACTTGCTCACCTTGATGGCTCATCACATTGTTTGGACTCATTCTCGTGTCAGTGCTCTAGTTGGAACAAATATACCAGAGTACATGCACACCACGACATCCATCAGTATCTACCATGAGAATTACTACTGGAGTAAATTGGTTAGAGTTTGGCTACAATCTTATTACAATCAGATACTTTACTCTGATACAATCCCTCTCTGGGTGAAGATCTGAGGCACCTCTATCATGTCCATAGGAGGTCGCGGTTTTTGTTTGTTTGTTGTTTAACGCCGCTCTCAGCAATATTACAGCTATATGACGGTGGTCTGTAAATAATCGAGTCTGGACCAGACAATCAAGTGACTGACATCATGAGCATCGATATACGCAATTGGCATAAGATAACATGCATCAACCAAGTCAGCGAGCCTGACCACCCGATCCCATTAGCCCCTTCTTAAGACAAGCATAGTCACCTCTTACCATGCTTACAGCAAGCATGGGTTGCTGAAAACCTATTCTCTACCCGGATATTCACAGGTCTGTGAAATCCTCCATTACAATGATTTTGGGGGTAGAATAGGTCTTCAGCAACCCATGCTTGCCGTAAAAGGTGACTATGCTTGTCGTAAAAGGCGACTAACGGGATCGGGTGGTCAGGCTCGCTGACTTGGTTGATGCATGTCATCGATCCCAATTGCGTGGATCGATGCTCATGATATTAATCACAGGATTGTCTGGACAAGACTCGATTATTTACAGACCGCCGTCATATAACTAGAATACTGTAGAGTGTGGTGTTAAACAACAAACCAACCAACCAACTACAATCATTTTTGAGAAAAATAAAACAGATATGTTTGTCTGTTTGTCTGTTTATTAAAAAGCCTCGATGCTGATTGGCTGATATGGAGCAACCTCCTCAGAAAGTGTCCTCAGATTTTCAAGCAGATAGGTAATGTGTTGGAGTAAAAGATTGGATTGTCATGAGATTTGACGAGTTGTTGTAACAGTACCATATGTTTTCATTCTTACTTTTCACTAGTTTCAGGGGCCTGTTCCACAAAGCCATCTTAGCGCTATGATTGTCATAAGCCAGTTTTAAAGTATGGGAGTTACGATCATCTCAGCGCTAAGATTGCTTTGGGGAACGGGGCCCAGGTTTGCAGAGGAGTGGCCGTGTCCAACCCTGATATATCTACCTCCCGTCCAATGAACATTCAACTATCTATATCCTCAGCAACTAATAAGCATTCCCTTCAAATTCATGATGTAGATTGTTTGCTTGTTGTTTAATGCAACGCTCAGCAATATTCCACTTATATCACGGCAGCCTGGAAATAATCAAGTCTGGACCAGACAATACAGTGATTGATGTTGTGAGCAACGATCCACATTGTTGGGGTTTGACGACATGCATCAACCTGGTCACCAAGTCTGACCCCATAGGGAGTGAGTGAGTGAGTTGGGTTTAACGCCACTTTTAACACTATTCCAGTTATATCACGGCGTGTCAGCTTAATTTGGGAGGAAAACCCAAAGTGATGCAGGTCTCAGACGTTTACCACTTCGGTGAAACCCACGAGCACGGGTATGGTGCTGACAAACCTAGAAACATAATCGGGGCGAACCGGGATTCGAACCAACAATCATAGATTTCTGGCGTGCCCAAGGGACGCAACTCTGCACAGCGAATCGCGGCGCCTTAGACGACTGGGCTACCCGTGCCCCCGACCCCATAGGGAATGCGGTTAGAATGTGTTAATGCAATTAATATCTAATAAAATATTGAGGCAACTAACAGGACCGGTTTGTCAGGCTCACTGACTTGGTTGATGCATGTCATGGTACCCAATTGCAAAGATCAATGCTCATGATGTCTATCACTGGATTGTCTGGTCCAGACACAATCATAAATTTACAAACCACTGTCACACATCTGGAATAATGCTAAGTGCGGGGTTAAACAACAAGCGAACAAACAAACAAACAAACAAACAAGCAAAATAGGGCATGCATAGCTGTCAGATATAGTTGCTTCTACTAAGGTATTGCTTGTTGGGTTAATCCACCTTGTTGGTTTAGTGGGTGAGTGAGTTTCATTTAACACCATTTGGACAATATTCCAGTTATATCACGGCATGTCAGCTTCATGTGGGAGGAAAGCCAGAAGTAATGCTCATCTCAGACGTTTTCCACTTTTGTGAAACCCACTTACACAGGTTTCTGGCATGCCCAAGGGACACAACTCTTCACAGCGAATTGCGGTGCCTTAGACGACGAGCGGCCCATGCCCCCTCCCTTCCTGGTTTAATGTGCTAAGTTCTAAAACCAACTGTTTTACTACGTAATTTGGGTACCAATACTAAGGTGTACAGATAGTGATCCTGGAAACTAATCATGGTTACCTTCTACCCAGCTACACATGACAAGAATCGGGATATGAAATAGAGGTCAGAATTCCTCAACTGTTTCCGGGGTGTTATCAAAGTTTGAATCAAATGTTAATTTCTGTGACAAATGACTTTGCATGCAACCCAATCAGCATGATCAGAATACAAAGTTAAAATTGATTTCTTTGGGTGTGATAATATCTTTAAGGCTGTTTACAATTTGGAACATTACTGAAACACTATCTTTAACAACCCCCATGTTTGCTAAAATTGCAAACAAAATGTAAACTAAACGTAATATCTTCCTTAACATGCCTAAAATAACAAAATTAATAGTTTTAATGTTCAAATCACTTGTTGACAATTATTCTTGCCTAAATCAATATCAATTTGGCATTTGGACAATAAAAATCCAAGAAAAAAAATAATTACCTTAACCTTATAGATAGTTAGATTCATAAATACTATAAGTATAATTATGATAAGCTGTGGTACTTCCTTGTAAACAGGATAATCAGCTCCTTCAATAAGCCTCAGCATTGATGCTTAAGGGCAAAGAGGGCAACTTTCGGAGTTTCAAAAGGAATAATTACACACAATTCTCTTACATCAAAGAAACAAGGGTGACATATTTACGGGGCGGTGGGGTAGCCTAGTGGTTAAAGCGTTCGCTCATCACGCCGAAGACCGGGTTTGATACCTCAATTGGGCACAATGTGTGAAGCCCATTTCTGGTGTCCCCCGCCGTGATATTGCTGGAATATTGCTAAAAGCTGCGTAAAACCATACACACTTACTCACTCACTGATACATCTACAATGAAATGAGGACCTTACCAACAACAGATAGACTCTTGAGTTTGAAGTCACTGCCGTAGAAGAGAGTGAAGCAAGCCTTGGTGTCGGCCTTCCGAGAATCCTCAAGCCACTTGTCAAACTCCTTCGAGTTCTTCCCCGATCGGATTTCACGAACCTCTCGCAAATTTACTGGAATTAAAAAAAGAATTATGACCAATACAAGAAGAGTTCTGTGTGTCTTAGCCTAGTTGATCTATGGGTCAACTGGTCAATTCAAAAGGTCAGCGACTCACAAAAATTATAAGGTTATCATGGCGATTGATAGGTGACTAATATCCTCAAGATTGTTAAGCATGCTAAGAAGGCTGGCATGTCAAGTGTCTGAAGAGCCAGTGTTTAAGATTGTGCAACTGACAATCATGTACTATCATGTAATTACTGATCATGAATTGTACATGTAGTATTTGCATTAAAGTGAGGGATTCATCAATAATATGTCAAATAATTCCTAATTAATTTATTGGAATGAGGACAAGTCTTTTAAAGTTCACTTCTTGGGACATGCAAACCACCTGTGGACCTCATGAGCAAACATACACGCCAAAGGGATACAACGACATTGATATGTTGTTTGTTTTGTTTGTTCGCTTGTTGTTTAACAACAGCAATATTCCAGCTGTTTGTAAATAATCGAGCCTGGACTAGACAATCCAGTGATTGACATCATGAGAATCGACCTACGCAATTGGGATATGATGACATGCATTAACCAAGACAGGGAGCCTGACCACCCGATCCCATTACTCGCCTCTTCCGACAAGCATAGTCGCGTCTTACGGCAAGCATGGGTTGTTGAAGACCTATTCTACTGCAGATCTTCACGGGTCGACATTGACATGCGACCAACTGATACTTACAACATGCATGCAGGACAAGTAAAACACAGTGATGGTAGTCCTCACAGACTAATAGCATTTGATAATGTAATTCTGATCCAGTTCTCAATGCTTCAATTTTCCTACAAATTGAAACTGAATACAACTGACAGAAAATGTAATCACAGTAAGCATTGTTGCCTTGCTAAAGCAGAACTAGCAACAAACTCAGATGGCTAGTGAAATAAGATTGCCACTAGTCCTCAACACTAGTCTGAAATAAAGGAATTTCTAGGGCTGCAGTGGGGTCACAGAAGGTGAGGAGGTCGTTACATGGGCGGTACAGACTTAGATGTCTAGTGAAATAAGGTCTCCACTAGTCCTCTACACAAGTCTAAAACATAGGAATTTCTAAGGCTGCAGTGGGATTGCAGAAAGTCGTAACATGGGCGGTCTCCACCAGTCCTCTGCACTAGTGCTGAAAGGCAGTGCATCGGTCACAGGGGACAAATTATACCCCAAAATCCCTGCAGGGAGCTATTGGATAAACAAGCATGATAAGATAACAGAGATCAAACTGTACCATACCAACAGCCTGACACAGGAATAGAAATAAGCCCAGCCCTCTAGCATTCACTGGCTTCAACAAGATTGCCTAATGTTATAGATAGCCTTGGACTGGTAGAATTACATGTCATAATGCCAGAATATGAAGGGGTTGTTCTTTATTTACAACATGCTATCACTATTGGGACTCAAGTATTTCTAACCCTCCAGACATGACACTCATCTTCCATCTGAGGGAATGTTTTAGTGTTTTGGTGTTTGTATCATGAATGTTGTCCTTTAGTTACTATAGTTAATGATGTTGAGGTGCCACTGTTCCAAATGTCAGATGTACCTACTCCCTAGATTCAGTACCTCAGCAGCCAGTGTTAAGGATCTCACCCTTCTCATTTCTAAATTCACTGGGTCTCCAATAGGGCTGGGACGGGTAACTCTGGTACCCGGGTCGCGTGGGTCCTGAGTAGGACCTGGGTACCCACAGGACTACCCGGACCCGTGGTTAGTCACGTGATATATATTGTTTGATGACAAAACGTATCTAAAACTCTATGGTTACACTATAAGTCACTAATATCCCATTTCTTTCTGACAATGCACCCATTCCTTCTGACTTTTATATGTTTGAATAAAGATAAAACTTCATGCATTAAACTTCCCGAGGCCCGAGGTAGGCTTCATTGGCCCGAGGTAGGCTTTATTGTCCCGATGCAGGCTTTATTGGCCCGACTCAGACTGTGTTGGCCCAAGGCAGGCTTCATTGGCCCGAGATAGGCTTTATTTGCCCGAGGCATAAAGCCAAATTTGCATGCACAATTCCAGTATTGGCCTGCTCAAATCCTGTATTGGCTCACTCAAATCCCATATTGGCTTGCTCAAATCCTGTATAGGCCCCTCAAATTTCTTTGAGCTTTTTTAACTCCCGTGATCTACAGAAGATTCATTAAAAGAATAAAATAAAGTTAAAGTTAACTCAATCCTGAGGTGAGGTGAGGCGAGGCGAGGCGAGGTAAGGTGAGGTTTGATGTTGCGTCCAAGCTCATTGCACTTATATAGCGACCTTCATGCACGTGTGTTTGTGTCTGCTTCTACTAGTCCAGATTACAGTTGATTTTGTAGGGCTAGCCCACTGAGATACCAGGTGCAGTTTAACATGAATACCCCACTCAGACACAGTATGCTGACTCCGAGCCGATCAGCGCACTAATGCCGAGCGACAAGCAGGGTAACAACAAGTACCATCTTTTAACATCTTTTGGTATGACGCAGACAGGGATCGAACCCGACCTTCCGCTGTCAGGCCGGACACTCTACCACTAGACCATGGAGGCAGTCCGCACTCCCTTGAACATAAATGATCAGTGTTGTGCATTCACTTCGTTACTTACTTATATTGGAGATTTTACGTGCGCTTTCCGACTGCAGCGTATTTCACACAAGGGCCCGGCCAAGCCATTTAATGTGTTTCCAAAAAGGGGAAAAAGTTGTTTGGCAATCCAGTAGGGGTGTTTTAGTGAATGCTTATATAGAATTTTGGAAATTTTGAGATTTGGAAAAAATGCCAAGAGGGTTTGGCGGGGGGGGGGGGAGGAACTAAGGTACCTGTGTATGGAAGTTTGTTTGTTTGAGTATGTGGTTTGGTTTTGGTAGTTTATTGGGGTTTTAAATGCGATTTATTAGTCCTGTTTTGATTAAGTATACGCCTAAGGCTTTGAATTTTTCTATTTTATTTTGTGCATTCACCACCACTGCTGTAGATGTACGACATAGGTGAGCAGTTATTATACGATTATTTGACAGGGTCACCATGAGCAAGGCTTGTCATACACCACACACACAGTTAACAACTGTCATAACTGCTTGACCAACTTAGGTAAACATGAGACCCACCATGAGATAAGGGACATTGTTGGTTAAAATCACATTTTGACTCACTATATCATGTATATTTTCAAACTACAGTATCTTAGGAACACAAAAATACAATTCATAAGCACCAATTCATAATGATTACAAAGATACATGGCATCAAACATTTCGACCCATTTCCCAACGTATACCGTATTCGCCGTAATAAGCGCCCAGGGCGCTCTCAATATTAGAAATAAGGGGCTCTTATTAGAATATAATTTTGGTGAGATAAAAGAGTTGAGTTGAAAGATTGTAAATTTTGTGGTTTACGCTGACAGCCTGAAATGATATAAAAGAAGAATCTGTGCGTATTATACACGATAGACACATTTTCAAGAATTTAATGGCCCATAATTAAGGGTGCTTATCATACACGAATAAATAAGTCTTGTGTACATTGATCAATCGGAAGGGCTGCTAATTGGGATTGTTCACTAGCCAATATATTAGTAAATATCGCCGTAGGCGCTTATTAGAGCGTGGCGCTTATTACGTCGAATACGGTAACTGTTATTATAGTAATTGCAGTTGTTAAGTATTTTGTATGATTAATGGAAAGTAGAAATTCATGCTGAAAGGTTTTGAAATAATGTTTTTATTACATTACGAACTAACGGTAGAAGAATGAGATACTTTTTTACAGTCCTCACACATGGCGATTTTTACTGAAGCATCTCATGTCTTTATGACGTCACAGCACAATTGCATCCAGCATGCATAAGGTCCCTTTCCTCCTGGTGGGAGATATTATTGTTTCGGCCCATTTGCAGTGAACATGGTGTAGCTGTCATGACAATTTACATCAATATGACCAGACAAAAATGTCACTTTATCAATTGTGTCACCAGGGACAAATTCATGTTTGCATTAATTTCATGCGTTACAACACATCAGCCATGTTACACACCCAAGAGATACTCAGAGTCTCTCCAAGTCCAACCGCATGAAACCATATTATATTTTCTCTCCGGGCAGCCATTGTTTTACTTAACAGCACTGAAACTGTGGACTTTGTCCCAGAAACCACTCGAAGGGTATGGTCAAAAAGGAATGTCTGACTCAGGCTGCCCATACCGCTGGTATATAACATCAGTTGTCAGAGAACACTATCCATACAAATGAATCAATCTCGTCAGTGGTACAATTCCAATCTAAAAACCATTAGCAAAACAAACAAGTTCAAATCAGCAATCAGTTAACACCGGTCTGAGCTATTCAAAGCTTACATACATATCATGAAATATACAGCTAGCAGAATAAATTTAACATTCAAGCTTAAGGTCATAGATCGACATGAATAGAAGGACATTACCACATTTTGTGTAAAATTCATCAACTATCCTGACTAGGTGTTAGGAAACCATTATCAGATCACTGCAGTTTCATGACTATTTATGTTCTGTAAATATTAACAATGTAAAGAACTGACTATTGTTGATGTACATGGGATCACCATGGCACTGATGGATTGGTGCTAATGAACCATTAGTCCATTCCTGTCCTGCTGGGCTCTGCACCTGCTTCAATAATATCCAGTCAATGGGAGCCGAATGTACTGAACTATCGTGTTTCGAAAACGAAAATCTTCTTATAGAGGTGTTCTTATAGAAAATAAATGCTAGTCAAAGCATCATGTTCATGGTTTCAAATCTGTTCATTTACATTGACATTGACTGATGGTAATCCAAAATGTCCCAAAGATGCTGAAGAGAAATGTCCTATCAAAAGCTGATGAAATCAAGGACATGTCCTATTGCTATTTGTCTCCAGCAAAACCACTGCATGTTCCTACCATTGTCCACAGACATGATTTGTTTGTTTGTTTGTTTCATGCTGCAC